AGAGGTGCGACCCTGGCACACTGAAAAAGCACAGCAGTGCCTAATGAGTGAAAGCCTGTCCCAAGGTGACCTGCCATTGGGCTTGGACACTTCATCCTGCACCAGATTTCTGAAGCCAGCATGGTGGTTCACCTGCCAGCTTACTTTCCTACTCTGAACCTATAAGGAGCCCTTCAGCTCCACATTCCTACCCTCCTGGTTTCCCAGCGAGATGGGAAAAGAAATGAGCAGCCTGCAGAGCTCTGGTGTGTGCTCTCGGTAAGTCAGTAAATATACACAGCCAGACCCCGTCCAGATTGCCGGGATTTCTCTGGCACTAAATCTGACCACTTGCACAAGGAGGTCCACTCAAGTCAGGTCTGTTACCTACGTGGTAAGGTCGCTATTCAGAATGAAAGGTCATTACTTGGCCTCCACTGAATAAAAGGGTTTGCTTGTTTACCCAATGGATGGCAAAGGAAATGTTTAGATGTGATACATAACACTGCTGAAAAAGAAGAACTTCTTTCTTAGGGAGCGAAACCACAGTAGAAGCCAAAAGGAGCCAAATTACACTACCCTCCTGGACTGGCCCCCTTACCACAGAAAGTCTCTCTGAATTTCGATGTCAGCTTTTCAATCACACCGTAGGTCTCCACATAGAAGACATGTTCATCTAGTGGCTCACTGGCCATTATCCTCAGGGACTGCATGTCTGCCCGGTCCACCCCAACCGCGTAGATCTCAATGCCAGCTGTCCGGGCACTCGCTGCCACCTCTTGGACCTGGTCTTGTGGCCGTCCGTCTGTCACAACAATGACCACCTTGGGGATGTTGAGGGTTGCTGGCCGGGTGCCCATTTCCTCGGTGAAGACTTCATCCATAGCAGTCTGGATAGCAAGGCCAGTCATGGTGCCAGCAGACAAGGGCTCAATGCGAGACACAGCCTCCTTCAGAGAGGCTTTGTCGAAATGGGTGCGGAGGGGGAACTCCACCTTGACAGTGCTCGCGTAATTCATGACCGCCACACGCGTCGTCCTTTCCCCAACATCCAGGGTATCAATCATTTCTGACAGAAAGACTTTCACTTTCTCAAACTCTTCAGGTCGGACACTACGGGAACTGTCTACAATGAAGACAAGGTCGAGGGGCCGGTTCTTGCAGGTAGTGTCTGTCAAGAAGGAAGGGAAACACTTCAGTCGTCTCCTACACAGGATAGGAGCTCTCACCCAAGAGGAGTGAGTGCTGCCATGGCAAACTACCCCTACCACATAATGTTGCTTGATTCTTTAGGAGGAGGCTTAAAATTATAGTGAGCAACACATTAGAAATTTTTAAATATTAATTTTGACAAGTAATTAAATAATTGAACTTTTCTAAGTATTAACAGATTAACGGATAGGTGCACATTTGAACCCTCAAAATGTCTTGAAACTTAGGGTTGTGGTTTTCATGGAACAGCCAAAACAGAGATGTAGCAATTATATATAAATGTATTTACTGTTTATTTTTGTAACGATAAAGCCAGAATTCCACTTTTTATAAGATAAAGAAATAAAATGGCAAAAGAACTGGCCAGATCACATAGTGAACAGATCCTAATATCTTTTAGGATAGTAGCAATATAACTTGCTAAATAGGAATTATCTCTTTGTAATTCACAATCCAAAGTACACAAGAAGAAATAAAGGCCAACAGAAAAAAGACACAAATGATGATGCATAAAGGTTTCTTTAGAAGTTGTTACTGTTTTAAGGCTTCTAGAGCATAGAGAAAAATGAAATTACTTATGAAGTAACTTTACATGTAAAAGTACATTTACACACTTACTTCTAGCTTCCAAAATTCCTCACTGACATATAAATCTAGGAACAGAAAAGCCATAGCTCAGATCAGAGACAGGCATCACTTCTAAGAAGACAAAAACCAATCAAGACAGCAAGAGCAGGCACCCAAAACGTACCCTCCCTGTCCTGATACCCTGACCTGACACTGACGGTGCCATGTACTTAGTTTATACCATCAAGATTGGATTTGCAGCAGGTTTATGAAAAACACACAACCCAAAAGCAGAGTATTTTCTATAAAAGAGACATTCTGGCTCAAGAGTGCATTAAATAGTAAAATATGAGGTGTTCAGTTTGAATTCGCTCCCTGAGAGCAGTTTTGGGATCACACTTCTCCTGGCTACTGTCAAGTTCACTTTTATCATTCCAGCTGAAATGAAAAAAGAAAAAACAAACCCACTTCACAAGTCTTTTAAAAGTAGAGGTGAAAACAGCACTTTTTGTCAAGGCATTAAAAAACTTTTTTCTGTTGTTCAAGTGAAAACAGAGGGAAAAAAACCAAATTGCACGAATTCCATCAGCAAGCACAGCAGCAGAGTTGATTTTGCCTTTGGACAGAATAACAGACCAGACACCAGACAAATCTAGGATCCCATACAGGTATATTCTATATAAATCTACATAACTCAATTTTGCCTTTGGGAAGTTGAGAAAACATGAAGAAATGGAACGTGCACACATAGCTTAAGACATGAAGAAAGACACGGGAGGTTTGTCCTAAAAAAAAAAAAAAAAAAAAATAGAAAAAGACCAAAATGCAGGATTTGTAGGTAGAATTCCCTTTTACAGATTAAGGAAAAAAAAATTTTTTTCAACAGCGTGATCCTTCCGCGAGTCTGAAATAACGTTGTTGTCCGGAGAAATGAGCGCAGGTAGGGAAGAGCTGTGCGGGTTTTAGGGCCGTGCCCGGAGCGGCAGCGGGGCAGCAGCGAGCGAACAGCGGAGCAAGTGGGGCCGGGGGGCAGCGGGTCGGGGGTCCCCGCCGGGATGCGGTACCTGCGGAGGGGCCGCCGGGGGCGGCTGCCGGCGCGGACGGAGCGCGGAGCCCGAGGGGCCGCGGGCAGACGCCAACGCCAGGCAGCAGCCGAGGATGCCGAGCGCTCGCCCCATGTGCCGAGCGCTCGCCCCATGGTGCCGAGGATGCAGCGCTCGCCCCATGGTGCCGCCGCCGGCCCCGCGCCCGCGGCCCCGCTTTTAAAGCTGCCAGGACGGGCAGGGGGACGGGACACCGAGGTGGCATCGGCCGCACCCGCCGCCTCGTCTCCAGGAAGGGCCGGCGGCTGTCGCTTCCCCGCCCTGGCGGGCGCTCAGCCGGGCGAACATTAAAGCTCAGTGTTGTGTTCCTGCGGTTCAAACCTGGGAGCAGGGGGAGCTGAGGCACAAACCCACCCGTTCTTCCTCCACTGGAAGTGTCTGGTCCAGGCTAACTTTGCACTTCAGTCTCCAGGGCAGTATTTGCAAAGAACGTGAGAAAAAGCTCACGGCGTGATCACCGAGGCACAAGGAGTTGCCTCCCCGTTGCCAAATCTTAACCATGGGCATTTTGTCTGGTTCCTGGCACTGGAAATCCTGCCAGTTCCTGTGGGAAGCTGCAGTGAGTTATAACAGAAAGCACGGCTTAGGGCACGAATCCACTATGATCTCTAGCACAAGGCTTAAGAAGACACCTCTGCCAAAGCTGTATCGTGTTGTATTGCAGGACCATCTTCTCTCCCATCACCTTCTTAAGGGGAACAGGAAGCCCCGATTTAGAAGAGGAACCACCAACCCACCAGCTGTACAGTTTCAGGCAGGCACTGACGCACTTCAGCAAGTTCTGCACAGTAGAAGAGGCCACCACGGCATTCACAAAGGCTGCAAACTACATCAGGGAAGAGGGACCACCGCCCTTCACGCAGGGGAAGACCACAGGACAGGGCTCCAGGGGAGTACAATGGCTTTCCTCTCTCACAGGGGGCTGCAGTTTTTTCAGCAACAGTACATACACAGACACACACATCAGACGAATTTCAGGCAGTGCCTCCTGCTGCCAAACACTGCTCAACCCACCCACTTGGGAAGTCTCAATATCCACCCCTTGGCAGGAGCTCTCTGCCCACATCCAAGTTCCTCTGGTGCCCACTCGTGGTCAGACAGACACACTCACTCGGGGCAGATGGATCCAGAGCAGAGCATGTTCTGGGATCAGTATTTGAGTAGCACCCAACAGTTTCAGCTGTTTCTCAGGTGACTTGGTTTCATATGGTCTTTCAGCTCGCCCCTCTCCCCCCTCCCTTTCCAAAGTCCCATTTAAGCAGTCTGGCAGCATCTGAAGATCCCCTGGGTTTGGAGTGTCTCTGGGAGTCCAGATCCAATGCAGTTCTTCATAACCTGGAAAACCAAGTACAGCTGCCGCCAGCCCTGGATGTACTCCAGGTACCCCCTCAGGGTAACTGGGAGGGCAGGGCACTGCCACAACAGTGGCACAAGATGGTCTTAGACCACTGCAGTTCAAGGTGCTCTCACAGGTGGCACCTAAGGGAAAACTAGGGAAACTATTGCCAATAGCACAGCCATGACAGAGCAATTTTAAACATGTACAGAGGTACACATTGAAAAGACATTAAACAACAACCTGTAGCAACTTGAATCCTTTTTATCCAGAATTTAATCCAAACTAGAAAGCCGGTTTTTTCTTCAGAAATAAAATCACTAAGTTATCTTTTACCTCCTTATCCCTCTTGCCGCAAAAGAGGAAGAGTAAAAAGTTGTTTGTAGATGGTTTGGTTTTTATTCTTTTTTTAGGACATTTCTGAAGTTATGGTGTATCTCAACAGTGCTGGATATTTTCCAGTGTAAATAATGATATAGTCCTACTGGGTGTCTGTCCTGCTCTTAACGCCTGAGCTCTCCAGACATCAGATTTCCCCGAGGGCTAGAAGCCTCCAGTACAATTCCCTTTTCCCAGCTCATACATAAGTACCAATCAGGCAAGCAGAAGATGACAGAGTACTTGAACTGCAAAGGCTTTAGTACAGGTTTATGTGTTAGAGGGAATCCATGTTCTCCACCCACAGGAGGACTTCTGCTGAAGAACAGATCAACCACTAAACCTGTAACTAAGTGTGGGGACTATCTGCAGGATACTGAAGCACTTAAAGAAAAAACCACCACCAAACAGATCAACCAAGGCTATGGTAAACATTTTGTAAAAGATTTATTTAAGTATCATTTATCACAAAGAGGAAAATACATAGAAGATTAGAAGCATGCAACCATCTTCCACATTTCTATTTATTTTTCTTGCATTCACAGCATGTTGTAATAGTACTCCTGTGCCATCTCACTTCTTCCTCAAAAATACTATGTTTCAAGACATAGGATAACCAACAAAAACACAATAAAAGGGAAGATAACATATGAGAAAAGTGCAAAGTAAAAAAAGTCACGTATATACCACATTCAAACCCCTCCCCTTCCAAAAAAACTGATAAAGGCAAACTGTCATTTTGCTGTACGATCAGATTGTCTTTATGAACTACTTTACAAAAAATTAATATAAATTAAGGGCATGATCCTGCAGACACTTATAATTGTAGCTAACTTCAATCAGAGTGGCTCAGTTGGTATTATTAAAAGCCACAAGTTAGTCACATGCATAAGTTCTTGCAGTGTAACGCCCTAAGGCAATAAAATGTTTAAGAGCATTAAGGAGAACAAAAATTAAAGCAAACAAAATCACTCTCAGATGTGTTTTGCTTAGTAAGTTTATATCAAACATATTTTAAACAGAACAGTTTGCTCCTAAAAGCCCTGAATATTTCTATTACTTAAGCAGTTTTGCAAGATTAAAAGACAAAACCCCCAGGAAGCTGGTACAGATGTTAATTAACATAAAAATTGCTTCAGGCAGGTATGTAGGGAGGTGGAGGTTCCTTCTCAGGCATCTTCACTGCCATTTCATAGGTTGGCAGAACATACTAAGAAAAAGACATTTTGAAGTGATTAGTGCAGGAGGTTTGAAAATAAGAAAAAAACAGAACAAAAACATACATGCCCCATCAGCAATTTAATCCTCTGTTGCAGGCAGAAGTTTTTAAGAACTTACTGCTGTTTCTAGTAAGCAAATGAGGAAGTGAAAGAAGGTGCAGGAGCAGTTTAGTGCTCTGTTGAGCCTAACCCTGGGTCATTCATTCCACCCCACTACCTCCTGGCTTTGCAAAGCAGCAAGAAAGGTTTGGACTCATGCAATTAAAGCTTCCCTCTACTAAAACAAAAAACATTCTAGGACTTCTCTTAATTAACCCTCTTATTTTAGGCACCATCAGAATGCAACTGAGAAATAACCCACCAAAAAATTAGCTGCTTTACCGTTTTTAATCTTTCCAGTCTTTCTTTAGAAAGGTGCACAAGGTTTGGAAGCATACAGGGATATGGCGATTTTCTACTTCAAAATTAAACAATGTTGATTCCTTTTATCTGAAACAGAGGTTTTACCTGTGGAGGAGCTTCAAAAGCAGGGTACACAGCGATCTCTGGCAAATTTCTGTTGCTGATGTATTTATAGCAGTTCCATACACAGTTAATTAGATATGCCTGAAAGAAGAGAGATTTCTCTTTTTAAAGACCTCATATGCATTGGTTGAGTCAGAAATTAGATGTTTGATTACATTCCTATGACAAAAAGGAGCATAAATCAACTTAGGCAATACATATCTGAGGAATGGTTGCTATTTCACAGATCTGGCCACATACCTAACCTATTGCTCCCCATTTAGCTTTGCTGTCACGGTGACTCAGAGAGTATGAACCACACAGGTTTTAGCAAAAGAATTCACAGATTCATTCAACTAATCTCTGTCAGCCTCAGCAATGCTAATCAAATTAATCCCCAACTGGCTCATGCTTCTGTGGATCTCAGTCCAAACCTGCCAGTAGGAGGAGGAGGAGAGGCCAACAGTACAATCCCACTCATCCCCAAGGTAGCACTATTTGTCCAACTAACTGCCAGTGTGAAGGAGAAGACTCAAATATACAGCCGGGCTGGCAGCAAAGTGATGGCAGAGCAAAGCTGGTTGGACTTTGAGTCAACACTGACTGCTGGAGAAAGACATGCTACCACGATCTGATGAGGACTTAGGGTTTATATTGTGTAACATTAATGTTTCCCAATCTGGCAAGTTAGCACTTGGTCATACAAAAAGTATCGAATTTCCCAATCTATACCAAAATCTTATCTACTGTATTAGGCTTCTGCTCTCCCCAGTCAGACATTCCTATTGGAGAATATATAGATAATTAGTAGAATTATTTTTCGTTACTTCATTTTTTCTTAAATGCAATCTGAATGCAATAAAAGAGCATTATCAGGGCAAATGTACATTATCAATTCATTTCTCTAATATGATTTGTCTGCACAAGAGTTTCTGTAATTCAAATTAATGCCTCTGTACTTAGATTCTCAAAAAGAAAATAACTGGTAATATCACCCTTCATTAGGAAGGGAGATGCAGTTCTGAATTAATTACGCATTTCCTCATTCTGTCATCTTCCTTTCAAAACATGCATCCTGGTTTGTTAGGCACAGTGAGGGATTTTAAAAGTTTTGTTTAGAAAATTGTATGCTGTAACTCAATATTGTTTCACCACAAGTTTTATAACAAATATTAAAATTATCTTCACATAGGCAAAAAGATGTTATTTGAAGCCATTATGCATTCTTACTTCCTCCTAAGGAAGGGCAGAACTGCATAAACATGCCCCACTGCACACACACAAGCTAGCTGAAGACACTAGTACACAAAATATTAGACTTAAGTCATACCATAACTGAACATCCCAACAATTCTGCTTAGAGAAGTTCTTATCTCAGCATTAAGAAGCCAGATGGGTTCTGAATTCAGCACTGAGAATTAATGCAGAATGACAGCATCTTAATATTTAGCAACTCTTGAAACAGACATATGCTTAAATTTTACCTTACCTTTAAAATGATAAATAAGGCAAAGAACACCAGAACAATAAACAAGAGACAGCTGGAGTCCAAGGAAAGAAGGTCATCTTTGTAAGGGAAATCCGGCTAGTCAAAAAAAAAAAAAAGGGGAAGAGAGAGAAAGGGAGAAGATAAGAATGAACACTGCAGTCAAATATGATAGAAAAACATCCAAACTTCACACCAAATGAAACCAACTCTTGTGTAAACTACTCCCCCAGAAACAAAAGGTTCTGTTTCTCACTAGTTTCTTCTCTATGCTCCCAAAAGCACAGCATTTATCCTGCCTCTATCCTGCAAGAACGGGTCACTACAGCACTGTCCGTGCCCATAGTCACATTATCAGTCTCACGCTAATAAAGATATCCACAAAACTTCCTTTTACGCAGCTCCAGCACAGAATTTGTACTTATGGTCCTCTACAATTCTTTAATAACTTAGTATTAATTACCTCATGGCAGTCCAACCTGTAACATACATGTGTGCAGAGCAAAAAGGTAAAAAGTTGTCCCCAAACTTCAGAAGAGCCAAACAGAGAGCTTCTTCAAACTTCAGACTTCACTTTCCCTGACTACAGTAACAAACACCAATCCAACCTTGTTTTTAAAATTACTTTTTTAAACATCTGCTTGATCAGATCTAAACACCAGCCAGAGTTTGTGCTCCTTGTTAACTGACAGTGCATTCTATCCACTGAGTCTTCTTGCTTTTAAATTACAGGCAGTGTTAATGAGAACTCCATTCAGTTTCCTTAGAAAGTATTGTTGCAAAATAAGAGCCACATAGAATGTAAAAAGAAAACCTCAATCTCAGATTCCATCCCATAATGCTGTAGGACCTTTCCTACACTTTTCCTCCCCTTCTTTACCAAATAAGGGCCAATACATTTTAATCTGCAATAAATTTGCCATAGAGTCCTATTGCTTAAAGGGTTACAAACACCCTTTCAAGTCCTGTTGTAGCCAACACAGTTTAAACCAACAATTCCCATCACAATTCTTTCTTTATTCTCCCTGGCTTTCCTTTGGCAATGATACCTTTGGCCCTTCCATCTCTGATAAGCTCCCGTTCTCATAACCACCCATGGTTGCTGCAGGCTGAATTCCTCTTTCTTATGCACGGGAAGGGAACTGTAGCTCAGTCACTGATCCAATTAAACCAAACCTGAATTTCAAATGTAAAATATCGACTTGAGCTGAACACTTACCAACTGATCCAGGTAATCCTTGATTCTGGGCAAGTAGGTTAGAGAGCTGATGGCAACCAGACAACTGAGCACAAAGTCAAAGAGTTGGTAACAGAAAAATGGGATCAGCCAGCCTACACGATGCTAAGAAGAAATAGAAAAAACCAGCAGCCTCTAAGTTATTTAGTTAAAAATTCAAGTAGCAAGTTTAAAACCAGGACTATAAATATACTTACAGCAATGGCACCATACACCATCATTGCACTGATTGTGAACATGAGGAGGGAGATGGCAAACAAAACGCAGGCATTTTCTGCATTAAAAGAAAAACAATAAGCATCAGTACTTTCCTGGAGTTGTCTCACTGCAGTTGACAGGTACCCCAGCTTTGTCCATTACTATGATCTGTTCTCAACTAGTTCATCTGTGCAAACTAGCAGCAGCAGAATACAGTAGCTCAGATCTCACCTAACAGAAAAAGATCTGGTTCAATAAAACCGAAAAGTATTTGGAAAAATCCCTCTGCCTTAATCAGAAGCCTGACTAAAGCTCAGACACACCAATTACAAACCTGACGTAGTTTGATAGTAATGCACCATAATAATGCTGATTTGCAATATGTGTCAGTGCTGAAAGTATGTGAGTAAATAACTTTACAAATGGAAAGAATCTTAAGTGAAGCTAACACAGTATCAACCTTTATACTTGAAAATGGCTTGGTTATGTAATTCGTTCATTGGCAGTGGGAGCAGTGCTGCTCCTTCAGTAACACTAAAGAAAACAGGAAATCACTGTGTGGAAGGTATCCCATTATTTACAAGAAAAGGCAGTTGAACAGAAGCCAATTTGTAGGAAAATCCAGGACACTCGTGGAAACTGCATGATAAAGATTCTCCTTGTGCATCACAGTTACTGATGACAGAAGCACAGCTGCTTTCCACGAGTTAGATTATACTTTTCTCCTTTTTTAAACACAGAGAAAGAAACCAGCTTGAGAGTCTACAGATGTGGTAAATGAATGTTTTTTAGCAATATTGAAGCCAAACTTTTGTGGTTCTCATGCTTGGAAAAGAGATGATCTGAGAATACTTTCTAGTCTGAAATTGATTTGAAAAGACACTATAGAAGTACTTATGTATCTAATTCAGTACAAGATAATATCTACATACATAGATGGCATCTAGAAAGAGCCCCCCCCGCCATCTGAAATGCACTGTGTTGATCAGACCCAAGTCTCAGCAGTCACCAACAAGTGTGGTTTTCTTCTGAGAATTTATTACTCTCAATATTCACATGCACAATAAAACCTGTAATATTTCTTCATGCACACAAAACCCTCTAGCCCAGAGGACAACATGGGAAATAAGAATCTCTAAGTTAAAAGCATGTGACAGACATTTTACACTAAAGAGTGAAGAAAGAACCTTCAGATGCATCTTTCATTCATATAAGCTTAAGGTTACCAAGTACACCAACATTCGTTACAGAACACAGGACATTTTACAGACATCTGCTGTAATTTTACTTAATATCTTGGCTTTATGAGGCATTTGGTCCTTTCTCCCGCTCTCATTTCATTACTAATAAATGAGAGTTATGATCACAGGTCAGAACTCAGGTCATGAAGACAACACAAAATGCTCAAAACCCACATTTGTGCTGCACTATTTATCCTTTGCTCCACTGGATCTAACCCTCCCTAAATTTTCATATAATACAACAGACTAAGACAAGGCACCTTAGAAGTGCAATACTAAACATATTTCTGCACGTTTAAAAAGAGAAGCAAAATATATGCACAAGTTTACAGATACGATAGTTAAAAAGCTGGGTCACTACAGACAAAAAGCTTGACGCCAATTACACTTGTACACATCATACACTCAATAACAGAGTGAAATGTAGGCTTAATTCTTCTCATGATGCTTTCTGTTTCACTTCTTCTGCAGGTCAAACTTAAAGAAATACTTTGGTTTTACTTGGTGTCCCAATTCTTCCACTTTTCTTAGAAAGACAGCATGGTTTTCTTCTTAGTAAAGTCATACAGAATAGCTCTAAGCTCTTTCCTTAAATCGACAAAGATCAAGAAAAATTCTCAAAGAAAGTCTTTAAAACTGTTTTCTGCTGTTTTACTGAGACAGCAAAGATAGTAAATGTTCATGAAGAAAGCAAGTTAGATATGTTCCACACATACTTCAAGAGTCAAAGCATTATATGGCCAGGAAATCTTCAGAAATCTTATCATCTGAGAGGTTTAGGCATAATATGAAGTAAAAATAATATTCCATGAAGTTCTTTTTATTCTTGTAGAAGAACTCAATCCCAGAATAATTTAGGAGAAGTTCAAAAAACAAGACAATCACATTTAAAAGCTCTATGCATATATTACACGCTAGTGTAAGGCAAATCCTTCACAACACTGCTTTATTTTCTAATCAGCCAGTTGAGTTATGGACCTACCAGCCATTCTCTCGGAAGCATAGTAATTTCCGATGACTTCATACTGGATATCAACTGTTGGCACTATATTTGGATGAGTCACTTCTACTGTCAACAAGATGCCCATCAGCAAGTTCACCACCTGAGAGAGATCACAGTTACCTCAAGGTTATTTGCATTGCAACAACTAGGATCATCTTAATGACACACTAATAATCCTTTATTTCAGTTAGAAACACACTCTTTGCTTTGCCTATATGTGGAAGAAAAAAAGAGAGCCCAACTTACAATGAAATTTCAAGCTGATTTAGTTAAATCTCTACCAAAACAACCAGAAGAGCACCAGACACTTGCTAGGGTTAAAGAATCACAACAGAATAACTTTACAAATTAAGGGGATGGATAACGTTTGTAGGGATTCAAATGACATAATTAATAATATTATTATAATAATAATTAAAAGAGGTCAGGACACAACAGCAGACACAACAAGACACATTTGGAAAGTTTCTGCTTTCTGTCACAAATTGAGTTAATTTAACCAACAAATAAAGTACTAAGTTTCTGTCATGTTACAGCCTTTATAGAAGCTGGGGAGAACCATCTCCCTCCCCTTCCTAGAGAATTTATTAAAACCTCATCAGTCCTTATCAGAAAGGCTACACGAAGGAGAAAGGCTACTACAGGAGAAGTAAGAAAAACCACACACAAAGATTGAACTGCAAAATGTGTAAGCATTCAGCACAGGTTGTGTGCTCACCAGTCCTTCTCCTCCCTCATACTGCCACTGAAGACTACTTCTGTTACCCAATTTTGGTACATACCAGAAATGTCTTCAGTAAGAGCTCAAAGAACCAAAAGTAGCTTAAGCCTCTGTAAAATTGCCTTCAGAGCATTTATAACCTATTCAAGACTTACAGGGGCATAGTTTCTGTTACTAATATCTGGAGAGACATGCCAAAGGTTGCGTAACAGAAAAAGCCATGATGGTATTTTCGAGCTGCAGACATTTTCCAATCAGTATTCAGTACAGTCACCACCACCAGCAGGATCTTTTACAATTAGCCTCAAAAGAAAAACACCAAACTGGTTTACAGTTTCTCACAACTTAAGAATATTTGCCAGGGATTTCTTCTTTTACTGGCCTGGTTCCAGGAGGAGCAGTGGCAAGTCTATGTACAATTATTGAAGCTTTCAGTAAGGAAAAAAGCTGTTAAACATTTCCCCCCAAGGTTTAGAGATATCGTGGTGATAAGCTTGCTTGCACTTTCTGCTAAATACAACTTTCATGATATCAAAGCTAGTCACTTCGTAGAAATGCAACTTCATCATACATTACACAAACTTGTTAGAATTTCCAGCTACTTTGAGTCACTTGTATACTCCATTTTATGCCTTAGAACATAAAATACAGCAGCTAGTACAGCTGGTAGTGAAAAAATAGGTTCAACCACCACTATCTTTAGCCTCGAAACAAGCATATTTTCCCCCTCACAGGACACTGCAGGGTAAACTGTCAAGTTGCTCATCTGTCACTTGTCTACATATTTTACTTTGCTTCACCACTGGTCACATGTACAGAACACTATAATCTCTCACCTGTTTAGTCCTTCTGTATTCTGGCTTTCTGCTCTCAGTTCATTTTCAACCCTTCCATTTCCTCCTCTCTCTGTGAGAGAACTGAGGGTATCAAACTATATGTTGGAAAATACCTTCCTGCTCTAACTTGTTTTAAAAAGCCAGTGTCAAGGGGCAGTTGAAATGTTGATCTCTACTTTACAAAACACAAAAGGACATGTTCAATTATAGCTAAATTATTTACTGTTTACACACAGTCATAAGTTTAACTGCCATGATAGGCTATCTGCCTCAAGAAAAAGAGCAAGCAGGACTTCAGTTACTATAGAAGTACTGAAGAACTCGAATGCCTTGGAATTTTGAGACCATAATTCCACATCTATCACTTTTTTTTCACCCTACCCACAGTCCAAATTTAGCATACAGAAGTTTTCAGTAATTTCACTAGTTCCTGAGCACAGTTCAAAGTATTAAAGATTAATTTTCTCAACCTGAAATGATGTGAAAGGAAATCAGAAAATAGTCATTCAAAGTACAATCTATTAGAATCAACGAGACAGAATAAAAATAGTAACTTAAAAACAAACAACCCAAACCTCTGCCACTTAACACCCCAGGGTTTCCAGTACTCCATTGTTGCTGTTTATGAATCTGTCACAGCACTGAGCAATTCATCACATTCGACATATGGATTTCAATTAACAGCTACAGAGCCAGAGCCTGTATTTTAACTGCTTCCACCCTTTCACAGAAGCTTCATAATACAAGAACACAAGGCTTGTTTCAACTTAACAATCAACGTAACAGGCAGCAGGAGTATGGTCTGGACTGCAAAGCATCGCTAGAGTTTGTAAGTATATACCCACTGCAAATCAAATGTATGTTCACAAATGTCTACATGGAGAAGAAGTCGGAAAAATATAAAACTTGTGTACACATCAGTTTAACCTGAGGATTGAAAACACCACCACCTCTGCCTCAAAAAATCCCACCAATCTTGACAAGAGAGCACTCAATGAACAGTGCGATGTTCTGAGATAACACCTCAAATCCCAGCAGGCCCCATCCTCATCCTTTTTGCTGGGAAATCAAAAATAATAATAAAAAAATTTGCAAAATGCATGTTCAAACTCTTACTCAAAAGGTGGTTCAATTAATACGAAAACCCCCTTAATGTAGTTTTGTAATATTTTACATTTTATATTTGGGATGGCTGAGTTTAACACAGTTTGGTGTAGCCTGTATCAAAATTTAAAAATCAAAAAGCTGGTAATCATGTAGAAAGTCAGCATTTATTACACAGTGGTAACAGAAATATTAGCTCCCCATATGATTAGAACTCAAAAGACAGTGGGGCTATTAAAAAGCATTAACTTTTTAATTAGCGAGTTTCACCTCCACAGGGTACACTTAATGCCTTATCATGTAAGTGCTTCTCTCAGGAGGCCTGAACATGAAGTCTAGGTTTTCCCAAGCACTCAGACTGACTTGGACAAAAACAAAAACTCCTACTTATAATTTGCTTCTTTCCTTTTATGAGGCAAAAGAGGCAAATTGCCTTGCACTACTATACTTCATTTTCCTTTCACTTTTCCAATATTTTTCCCTAAACTTGCTCCCAAATTAAAAAAAAAAAAAACAACAACACGGAGTTTCTGATTTGTTTTGGTTTATTATATCGAAATAATAAAAACTGAAAAAGAATTATTTTAAATAGGGTACTTCAGGGCCTCTAGCACTGTCAGTATTAGATTGGGACCAGTTATATTCCCTGTTTCTGTAAGTCTTGTTTAGTGAATAAACAACTCCAGAGATCCCCCCTCAGCCTCCTGCTGACCAGCAGCAGTTGCATCACTGCCTCCATCGCTGAAGTTTGCTGCCAGAACGCACCAGCCCCTCCCTCCAAAACAATGCTATTGCTTTTAGACTGTTTATTGAACTCTGATCCCATTTTTGCCAGTGCAGTGTTCGTGCTTCCGGTTTCTGGGAAGCACTGTGCCTAATATGAAAGTTTACAGGAAGAAACAAACTTCAAAGCCACACGTTTGCAATTACGGAGTGAGGAACAGGACGTTTCCTTCTCCTTCCTACACAGAACAGCAGTGGGTGTTGCGGAGCAAACCAGGCTCTATCAGTCCTGGATCTCAAGTACGACTCCACTGGAAGTGTCCTTAACTTATCTCTTTGCAACTGCAGCGTTATTTACTGATCACAAACAGCAGCAGCCCTTAGACTGAGGCGTGCTTAAGACACTGATCACACAGCATCAACAGCAGACATTTTAGAAGATAATATCCTTGTTTTCTCTGGACTTGCAGAAGCACTCAACAAGAACAGTGATACAACTGTTTTAGCGAGATGAAAACTTAATTAGATGCAAGACTTAAGAGTATGCAAATAAGCAAGGAATATGAAATGCCTAAAGAAATGGTTACATAAGATAACATGCATGTATTAAGTAGACAAACTCTTATCTTAGTAAAACATCTGGAGTAGATTGTTATAAGACTCCATTTTATGTCTGGTATCAAATTCCCTCAGTACTGCACTGCACGGGAACCCAATCTATCCAGTAAAGAGCAAAATTTTCAGTAATACAAAACTATTCTTCAACTAAACATTCTCCCCCAGCAAAAAGCTACCTCCTTCAAAACAACCCCAATAAAATACAAAAAATACAAACAAAAAACCACCAAACCCACAAACCAAAAAACACTACCCTACAAAGAAAGTTATTACTACTTGTCCCACTGTAACTTACAAGCAGAGATTATTAAGTTGATTTAGAAATACTTCTCATGAGAATCTGAAAGACTAAGTTAGTGCGATATTTAAATGGTGCATTAATTACATTTCTAAACAACCTGACATACTCTTGACCATTTAATTTTTTTTAAAGTTTGTGAGCAGACAGATAAGTCTAATTTTCACTGTCCAAACGGTACTTTGCCTTCAAAAAGGTATAAATTATCGCTGAATTACGATTTAGAGCATTAGGCAAGACCACATAAGACTTCATTGAAAGACCTTATTTCAGCTCAAACAGCCAACAGCTGTCATACTTAAAAGTCCTCACCTCTTCCCAGGTCACAGCTGGGAAGAACCGGATAAAAATTTTCAATGCACAGTTTAACAAAGCGTTTAATACATTTAATATAAACTTCTTTTCTTATAGAACAACACAGCTCTGAAGCACTTCGTGTGCCCCCTACGACCCTGAACTCAACTCTATTTTTCCCTCCAGCAGACTGACTCGTTGCACAGATCAAAGCCCCGTCCGTCCCTGGAGCAGCAGCCTCATGGGCGCCCGGCGCACTTTTCACCGTCCCCAGCATGCATGCAGAAAGAACAAAGAGGAGCTGCAGCCAGGCAACAAGGCGAAACATAAGCACAGTAAGAGAGAGGTAGCAGCTGGAAGTACTACCAGGTCTGTGGCCACGGAAACACATCCCTGTCCTCCGCCCCCAGCAAGTTCCTGGGTTTACAGACACTCCCGCGAACAGGAAACGAAGTGGGGAAGGCAGCGAGGTGCTTCTGTTCTGTAACAAGGATCACTGTCTCCCTACTGTTAACGATTTGTGCTTCTCCTTGAAGTACCAGAAGCACATTCTTGAATTCCATCCATCAGCACGGGGCAAAACTTCCGGAGGTTTTGCAGGTTTCCAAAACAAGTCCGATTCTCAATATTACAATGGACATTTATTTTTCTATTTTAAATGACCTAATAACAGAACCTAATCAGCACCATGACATTTTTTCCAATTTCTTCTTGAAAATGAAAGAAATATCCTTTTCCTAGAGTTTTGTTACATTTCCCACCCCCTACCTTGCTTTTTCTTCCAGTCCTCTCTCCGGCCACTTTATTGTTTGACTTTATTTTTATGCATTTTGGTCCTTTGATTGGCAAAAAAATGTAAAGGATCTCCCCATACTTGCTTAAGATAAACCATGAACTCTCCAAACTCAAATCCCCATGCCTGTAAAAGCAGTTTCTGTGCATGGCTCTTTCACATCAACCCGTTAAAATTCAGCATTCTCTATTTTTTTTACAGTCTGGGGAAGGGTAAAGGAAAACACAGTCTTTGGCTACAGCTTCAGAAAACAGAAAAGTTATGATTCAACTTTTGTAAACTATCCTCTCATTTTTACTGCCCGCGAGGGGAAGGGGGAAGGAAAGATGAAGAAATAACTTCAATAAAGGGGAACTCAATTGGTAACTCAGTTCCGTTTAAGGGAACTAAGGGAAGTTAGGGCTCCAGGCCTTTAACTTGCTGGTACTTTTTTCACGCTTCTATTTCACCCTAGTTCAGAACTATCTCTAATATTTCATCTTCATCATCACCGCTCTCTCTTGGAAAGAAAGAGCTCACCAGGCAGAAAGCAAAGAAGTGTTTTGGGAGCCAAATTTGTTTCCATCGCTTCTCAGCCCCTGTGCTGAGAACACCAGAACATGGAATAATCGGGAACTTCCCCTGTTAGAAAGCTCTTCGACAAGCAAAAGAAATGCTCATTTTGGACACAAGGACCTTCCTGTCCGAGCTTATACACCACAGCTAATCCTCCTATAACACAAATTCCAGTCTCCTCCAGCTCTCCTCCCTTACCAAGGACACGCTCAGTGCTGTTTAAAAGTCTCAATCCCTCCAACACAAGAATGGCAATATTAACACAACCCCTCCGAGACCCAGATTACAACGCTCTGAACTTTCCCTTCACTTTCTTTTTCCAAGTACAACAAGGGAGGCCGCCGAGGGACAACTGGGCTTTGTAAGGGAAGGAAAAGGGACTCGAGCCCCGTCGGGTGACCCCAGGAAACCCTCTCGTCCAGCTTCCCTTCAGGAAGGGAACAATTCTCTGGGGGGCGGGGGAGCCAGAGCTCCGCAGCCCCTCGGGAAAGGAAACAACTCCCGGGGTGAGGGGAGCGGGAGCCCCTCGAAAAAGGAAACAACTCCCAGGATGAGGGGAGCGGGAGCACCCCGGCCCCTCGAGGCGGCCACGCGCGCGATGAACCTCCCCCCACCACCACCACCTCCCCCGCGCAGCGCGCTGCGCGCGGGCCCCCCCCACCGCGCCGCGCCGCCGCCTCCTCGCCCGCCGGCCGCCCCGGGTACTCACCATGTACCCAGGTGTCCCAGAATGATGGTCCCGGTGCGCACATGGCAGCAGCCGCGCAGCAGCGGTGCTGTAGAAACGGTCCGGCTACGCTTGAACGTCAATGGCGGCTACACAGACTCCGTCCACCCACCCAAACCGCCCGCGCCTCTCCAGGCAATTCCCGAGGCCCGGGGCCGGTAAAACCCCCGCGCGCGCGTCACCGCGTGCGCTAGCCAATCAGGGAGCCGAGAGGGGGTCGCGGGGCGGGTCCGAGTGCCGCGGAAACGGGTGACTGGCGGCACCGCGGACCAATCGCACTGGCCTCCGGAGTGCCGCCCCGCGCTCACCTGCGGGGGCGGGGCTGTGTCCGCCATTTTGGGTCCAGCCCACCCATCCCACAGCCCCTCGGGCGGTGCCGCTCCCTGCGGCGGATCCGGCGGGAACACGGTCTGTCATGCTCGCCCGGGGCACGAGGGGCAGTTCTCCGTGCTGCGCCGGTGTGGGGTGACCGGGCCGAGGAGCTGGGGCTTGGCCGCCGTGCAGGCAGCGAAACCATAGGGGTGAAACTGTTGTCCAACGACAGCGCGGTTTCCCTCTGTTCTCGGTGCTGGTGAGGGGCACCTCGAGTACTGTGTCCACTTTAGGGCCCCTCACTACAAGAAGGACATTGAGGTGCTGGAGAGGGTCCAGAGAAGGGGGGTGAAGCTGGGGAAGGGTCTGGAGAGTAAGTCCTATGAGGAGCGGCTGAGGGAGCTGGGGGTGTTTAGTCTGGAGAAGAGAAAGCTCGGGGGTGACCTTATTGATATATACAACTACCTGAAAGGAGGTTTTAGTCAGGTGGAGGTCGGTCTCTTCTGCCAGGCAACAAGTGATAGAGAGGATGAGAGGACACGGCCTCAGACTGTGCCAGGGGAGGTTTAGACTGGATATCAGGAGCAACTTCCTCACAGAAAGAGTCATTAGATATTGGAATAGGCTGCCCAGGGAGGGGGTGGAGTCACCATCCCTTGGAGGTGTTTAAGGAAAGATTGGTGCTTAGTGCTGTGGTCTAGTTGACATGGTGGGTTTTGGTCACGGGTTGGACTCGATGGTCTGAGAGGTCTTTTCCAACCGAATTGATTCTGTGATTACGGGGCAACCTTTAATTCCAAAATAAAAACCAGGAGTAATGTCTCCTGGTCCTGGTTTGGGCCAGGACAGGCTTAATTTTTTGCAGTAGCCTGGAGGGGGCATGGTCAGGACATGGAGGTTATTCTGTACCTCCTTACAGGTTATTCTGTACCACCTCGTGGCATTGCTGGGGGCAGGGAAAAGGGACTCTCCGTTTCAGGAAAAGGCGCTCGTTGCAAGGGAAAGGCAATCTCACTTTCATGAAATGAGAATTTTTTTTTCTTATGAATAGTTTCTTTTCATATACTCTCTGTCATTACTATTGTTGCTATTCCTGTTAGTTTTCTTATCTTGTTGCTGTTTCCAGTAAATTGTTCTTATCTCAACCCATGATCTTTGCATTTTGTACCTCTAATTCTCAATTCCATCCCACCAAAGCAGGAAGGGGAAGAGAGAGAAAGAGCACAGAGTGCAGTTTTTGGAGAGCCTCAGTGGGGGCACTGAATTGGAGAGTACCATTTCTAAACCACAACACCTGAGGAGAGCCTGAAGCTTTGAGGTACTGCTAACGTCCCCCAGCTTTCACTGAAATTCAGCCAGTGCTGTAGAAGATTTGCTATTCTTTTGCTATTCTTTTGTGTTAATTCCTTGGATTAAGTAATAAGATTATACTAAAATCATAGGTCATAACAGGGAAAATAGAAGAGGTGAAATTCAGTCCGCAAAGGTGCTTTACTTTGTTGGTTAGTCCAGGGCCCTGTTGATGAGTGGGTAACGGGAATGTTTCATTAGTCCCACTGAAACCTGCAGTTGCTGTGCATGTTAATGCACATATTAATTAGAAATAACATGTATAAATCCAAGTGCTGTCTTTGTATGTGTACCACACGTACAAAGTGGTGTCCCCACCACTTAGACACGCAGTCTCTTGTTCCCACATGGAGAAGGACCTATAAACTTCCCCTGACCCAAGGGTTTCTGCAGACCTGAGCTGTTGATACAGAAACACACTGTTTATTTTACTCCTTTATGCGAAACTGCAAGTATGTTCTTCTTGGCAGTGTACAATCAGTTTGAGACACTCACAAAACCGTAAATATTTGCCGTGCATATATACACCAAGATGTATGTCAGTATTAATACTGAGCTTTTTCACCCTGAACAATGAGAAGGTAATGATAGCGACTGTGCTTGTCCTTTTGATATATGCCAGATCCTACAATTAACACATTTTAGTGTTTTAGCTGCTTAACCTATTTTTAAACATGAGCTGTTGCTGAGTTGTTTGAAATTATTTACTTAAAGGCTTTAAAACTGACCTTTTTATTTTAAATCCCCAGTGTTCCGTAATTGGTGTTTTTCTTCCTTAGGGCATATTTCATTTTTGAATAAACATGTTGTAAGTGCTGCTAAGACTGCTGTAATGATCCTATTATAAACTATTGTTTGTTTCTCTAGTACTCCTAATGTTCTCAGCCCTGTGCACAGATGCCTTAATTATCAACACTCTGATTTAATGTAGCGAAAAGGGACTAATTTTAATCAATATACATGCATCCATGTAAATAAATAGAGAAAGAATGTGCATTTTATTGTAATCAGTCATTTAAAAAATCGGTTTCCTCACAGATGGCACATTGGGAAGCCTAAGCCAACTGTTCCTGCTGCATGCATGCCTGAATTGATTACATTGTTCTGTGGAGCTCAGAGACTCTCCCTCCTGTTGGTCTGGCCCTGTGTGAAACAGGAATTCACAGTACTAGAATGAGTCAGAAGTGAAAGCCAGAGCCGCTCCCCCGAGCTTGGACATCAATTTGGAAACACCTAGATCCCACTCTCAGTCCAAATGGTTTGTGAGGGCAAGTGTTCCAGCTAAGATCTTGCAGTTGGACACTTTGCCTTTGCTTGCATCACTGGCAGCTCTCATGTCAGGCTCAGATCTTCAGGGCTATTTTCATGAGATGAAAGAAATCTTAATTAAGTGTTCATATCTTTGTCAGCCAGACTCAGAATAAAAATTGATGCGATTCCCTTGAGCTTCGCTGCTTGTTATACCCTGCAGACAACAAAGATACTGGGAAGAATAATGTGAATCTCATTTAACATCACAAAGAAGCTTTCCACAGCAGGATAGACTGATGTGAAACTATTGAATGGGCATAGAAAAAACTCTCTACTTTCTCTTCCCTTAAAAAAAAAAAAAAGAAAAAGAAAAGATTAAAAGAGTATTTTGAGAATGATTGCATTGTTTCCTGTACTTGGGGAAAGAGAGAATAGGTTAATGATTTTAGTCCTACCCTCTGTGAAAGATTCCAGTTCTTCTCTGCCACAAGCAGCCCAGATGACCTCAGGCAAGACACTTCCTTCTAGCTGATCCTTAATTCTCTCCTTTTTGCTAGTTCAAAGAGGATTTGTGAGGCTAAATATATAAAAACTGAAGGGCTCATCTTACAGCCATGACAGCCAGAGCAAAATCTTGGAGACGGAGAGTACTGGTAATAAAACTTTTCCTCAAACAAATAGCAAAAAGACCTTGGCATGCAGGACCAAATTCCCTCAACAGTAAGAGCAGGAAGCAGATCTGCAAGTCCAAAGCAGCTGCAAAAGAATGATTTGGATTCCTTTACTAGCATGATACTTAACTCTTTCCTCTCAGCAGGTAGGGAAGGTATGATATCACAGTGTTCCTCATTAGCCAGACTAGTTAGGACTTTCAAAACCCATGTCTAGACAGGAGATTTGCACTTCTGTCTTGAGAGGGCCTAGCAATGTTTTACCAAATACAAATTAGTTTTGAATAATCATATCTGAATAAAGTGACAGCAGAATAGCTAGGATCAGGTAAATGAGAGACCAGGCTGCATTCTCCTTCAGCTTCTAAGTTCAACACTCACAAGATGTCAAAATCATGGAGCACTAAGGCTGTTTTCTCCTGATTTTTGTAATAGCACAATCTTTCCCTTTTGTGCCGTTCTTCAGTCTGTCCTTGGCTAGGAGATGTTGGTTTAATGCTGTCACCGTTACTTCTCTGCACGCACTGTACTATTGCCAGGATGGAAATATTTTGAAGGATGAGATACGGTTCTGCTTCAGCATTTGCTCTGTTGTGTGAAGGGAAACCTGCAGATCCTGAGCTGATGACCATATGTAACCTCCTCAGGCAGAGTTCATATCAGTTTATAATGAAAATATTATTATTAATATTAATATTATCACAATTGGGGTTGGGAGACTGAGGCGTGGTGAGATGAGCTGATTTGACCAACACTACAGAGGTTAATCAAAGTTGTAGGAACATCAAGCAAGTCCCTTGTGCACTGGGTTCTTTACTGGGGAATAAAAGGTGCAGTGCAGGACATGTTGGAGCTCCTTCTTCCCCAGTGGAAGTCACTTAAATATAAGGGCAGTAACAAGTTACTCCTATATTTTTTTCCTATAGCTGTATGCGTCTGCTACTCTGCATTCTAAAATTAAAAAAGGAAAAAAATGAGGAAAGGTAGCTTCTCAAACTCGGTTATTTTCCACACTGAACAACCATTTTTAAATTAAAAAAGCAAAGATTTTCAACATCACAGAGCAGGTAATATCTTTACATAGATACTGCAATATGTAACACCGTATCCCTTCAGCAGAATTTAGAAAAATCCATAGAACTGTTGCAGAAGGTGTGAAAAATATGCAGGCTAAGATCATGGATTGACTTTTTGCTTCCTTAAAAGATATAAGAATGTACTAAAGTAAAAGCAAAGCATTAGCATATCAGTGAGGGGAAAAATCCCTCAAATAAATTACTCAGAGGGAAACTTTGCTCTTGGTGACTCACACAGTGAAATCCTAGATATCCTGAAGTCAGCATTAACAAATTTTACCAGCATTTTTCTCCAAGATGGATTCTGCTGGAAGAAAACAATGTAATTTGGAGAGTCAGTGGTTTCTTGTAAAAGAGGTAAGAAAGTAATAAGAATGTGTCACAATGACTGTTGTGGTTATTGAATTTACTCTTGTTTACTGAATTAATCAACATCACTTTGGGATTCCTAATGTAATATTCCAAGCTTCTATACTATTTGTTCTAGTTGGTTGCTGTTAACAATATGAATTATCTTTTACCAGCAAGAGTCAGTTTAACTCGGTTCCAAACCTTTTAAACTAAAGGTTAGAAAATCAGCTAAAATATGACAGCATGATGTAAAATTTCTCTAAGCACAAGACTGTGTTTCTGGGTGACTTTCTCTGTGCTCAGGTTTTCTGAATCTCAAACATTGAATAAAAATTCTCATCTTCATTTAGAGAATCAAAATCTGATAAACTAAAAGAGCTGTGGTTCATTTATAGCAGCCTCCACACAGCTGAGGAGCTATGAAAATGTCTAAAAATAACGCGATCTAAAATGGTACTTGCAATTTCAATATCTCAGTGCTTTCACATCAACAAACAGTGAGTGCTGGAAAGGGGAAATGTCCTGTACTCACCAACAGCCTCCCCCTTCCAGCCCTCAGCCCGGCCCTGCCCTTCCATGAATCTTGGCAGGGTGAATAGGATGAGCCTAAGGACCCGAAGGATACCTGTTCAGGGAAGCAGGATGTTCCCTTCTGGTGGTAGTGATTTCTTTACACATTGACTCTTTGACTGGGTTTGCAATTTGAGATGCCAGCAAAGATTTCCAGGAGGAACACAGATGAGTTGAATAAAGCCATTTATCACTTGTCTCTGTAACATGCACTACACAGAACCAAAGGAAAATTGTGCATGCAAAGAGAAATTAAAATTTGATAGAAAATAAAGTTTGCCAAGTTTCTGATATTCTCTTGATGGGACGATAGAGGGGTCAATTTATGTCACAGTGGCCGTTTCCCCAAAAGACACAGGGAGTTTGTTTCTGAGACCAATGCATTACCACATCCTTTCAATACGGGAGGACCTTCCCTTTGCAGATGAGAACATCTGTGAGGCTGAATGTCATGGATGGCACATAGTGCAAAGTTCAAGTTGCCTTGAAAATACCCCTGGGTCTGATTCAGTATGATCACAGAAGAGGGACAAGGTTTCCTCTATTTGATCTTTGTAGCCCATGACTTCAAAACCCTCTCTCCTCACAACGTCCAGCTACCCTTAGAAAATGTGAGCATAATAAAGAAATTATTTCCTGCCAGACAATTAGCATATGTACCTGCTCCTTGGCTTGTGCAGATATGTCGGCTGTGCCACCAATCTGCAGATTGGGTGGAACCTTGATAATTATAGACAATTACAATGGTCAGTTATGGAAAATTATGGAGCAGCAGGCCAAATTCCTCTCTGCGGTTGCCCCACTTAACCCTGGCAGTGTTACACACGTTTGCAGTGTGAAGCAAAGCTTCAGACTCTGCATCTGCATCCTGCTGTCTGCTTGTGAGTAAACACAGCTTTGTAGGTCAGCAGTTCATCACTTACAGCATCAACCACATCTTAATGCCAGAGATACGATGGATTCTCCATGTATGGGTAAGGCCCTATTATTAGGGATACAGCCAATCTTTCACCTTCAAAAGGCTGCCCACAAGAAAGAGCATTATTACAAAAATAGAGTAGATTGAGTTTAAGCGAAAGTGGAAACTTTAGGCCATATATTTCATCATTTGCTGCTGGAACAATTAATTGCTTTCTCCTAACCAGATCATAGATGTTTCCCAGCCACACTTCAGCCCACCTCCCACACCATGGCTGCACCAGAGGCTTGATTTCCAGCTGCTGGGCTATTTGCAGGCACAGGGAGAGCTTTTGGCTGCTCCTAAGGCATGTGCCTCTGAAGCAGCTAATAAATTGCTTAGGGAAAAGGCAGGGGGAGCCAGCTGAACCTGGCCCATGAACTGAAAATTAAACTACACTGGGTTGATGAATGACCAGAGAGGCTACTCTCAGTTTACTCTTCTAAGGGATAACATTCAGCTATAGCTCAAGCAATGCTTCAGCTTGTTGGAGGGATGTTGAATCTTCTGTGAGGATTTACCCTAGACTCCAGCTAGCAAAGATCGGAGACTAGGAGAATGTGCACATCTAGCAGATTCATTTAACCCTCCTGGAGCCAGAATCAGCAGAGCAGGCTGATAATCTGCACAGCCTCATAGAAGAGAAGGGGAAACATGTTTCAAGAGCACAGAAACCAGGGAGTAACCTGAGCATGCGGTGGTGAAGGAGTGTTTCATAAGGAACTCAAAGGTCTGCTTTTCAAAGCATCTGTGAAGGCAATTTGATAAGCTGTGTGATGGTCTTTTAGCCTCTGAGGACTGGGAAGAGAAAGAATGGAAGTTGACAGCAGTTGCTGAGCGCTTTGTGTTTGTTTTTTTTTTTTTTAAACTCAGTTCTCTCACTTTAGAACACTTTCTCATCACTGAGAGCACGTGCAGCAGTGGCACTGGGAGGTGTAGTGCAGGAAGGCTTCTGGCACTACCACAGCCATATCAACCAAGCAGAACCCAAAATACCCTTCCTAAGTGCTGACAAAGCAGATGAATCACACAAGCAGGCTATACATTGCCACCCAACTTGCCCTGAAGAGTGCTTTTCAATTATTGAGGAAAGCCTCCAATCAAGAGTATTTAGTCGTAGGAGTGTATTTTCTTTGCCTACATTAGAATAGGGTATTAAATAATGTGCTGCTCTAACAGCACTATTGAACCCTTCTGTATTACTCTGATGGCTTCCCATCTGTGAAGCTGCAGAGCCAGAAGAAAAATGCAGCTCTCCAGATAGCACTGATGTCAGTAAGAGAGGTACTGATGAATTTGACAGAAAAGCTGGATAATTTAATCTGCTGCTGCTTGTCATCAGCACCATAGTCAACTTGGCAGTGTTACAGGTCTTCATTCTTTTTTCATCCCAACAACAGAAGAATGTCATGAGGATTTCCTAAACATAAAAGGGTTCAGATGAAGGAAATCTCTTAAAAAACATTTATAGTACCTTGAAAAAGCTTAAAAATGAAATGGTTTTAGCCAAAAACACATGCTCTCACTCACACACCTACAAATTAAATAAAACTGTTCAAGAGTGCGGGGCTTTGGATAAAATTTTTCATTTTTTTATTATAAAAACAGTGACATTTGAAGTCCTGAAACATTGAAATAAAACAGTTACAAAGACATCAAAAAGTTTGCAAGCAGATATAGAGAAAAAAGCAGAAGAATTTTTTTTTGGAGATGATAGAGGTTATATTCAATGCTAAGCAGAGACCATGGGCAACATCCTGGCCCCAATGAGGTCAATGGATGTTTTACATTGGCTGCAGAGATAGCAGAACTTTGCTTATTACCCACATACTCATTAGCACATCTTCTAAACCCTTGAACTTGCTGTACCGGCTCCTCCAGTGAAGCCATGTATTTTCGTGTTATGCATCTGCTCCAAACCAGTTACTTTCCAGATAAAAGCCCTTTGGTCTAGTCAGTGCATTCATACACTGCCAGTGTTTTCCTATACTGAGACTCAAACACCAAGACGGTGGGCTGCTAATGGTATCAGTTAAGATTACCCCTCCTCTGCCTTTCTGAAACAATCCTGCTGTGCTAAATTTCAGAGCACACAGCTAACTACCCTAAAAATCACAGCACAAGAGATCTGCCCTTTACCATATAGTAGCTAAACTCTAAACACAAATACATTGCTGCAGTTAATTGCTTCTCTGAAGGGTATGGCTGCTTTGACAGCTATGTAACAGATGAAGGCCATCAAGGTAAAAGTATTGAGCTGCAGGTAAAGCTCAGATGAGTCGGGATCAGGGACAGGGTGGCTGCCATGGCAGAAGCACGGAGCTCTCCTCTGGCTCCATGATGCAAACAGGAGTGCAGCCGTGGCAGTGTAAAGCCACATCCCTGGTTACTCAGTATCCCAGTGAAATGGGTTTCACAGCATCAGCCCAAAGCCTACAAATGTGCACACATTTAACATGCATTAGTAAAATAACCTTCCCACACCATCTCCAAAGGCAGAGTCGAATGCAGATGGAGATTTGACAAACACTCTCTCATCCTTCGAGGCAGCACTTCTGGGATGGGTCAAGTCTGAAGAAATCCTCCCAGCTACCACCAAAGCTGCAGCTCCTCTAGGGATAAAGGGCTTCTGCTTTTAGTGGTGTCAACTCAGCATTGTTTATAAACCACAGTATTCAATTGTAACACATTCTCTCCTCCATACTATGAGCTCTCTGACAAGGAGAAATACACACTTGTCAATAAATACTAAATTGACATTTTTAAAAATTTCATTCACAAATTTAGTTTATATTACAATATTCAAGTAACAAAATGATAAAAACTTCCAAACAACATGTGAAGAAAAATGTTTTTAAAAGTTATCTCAGTCTATTATAAGTATGAATGCAACATGCTTGGACATACAGACTTTAAAATTTAGCCCACCAGGAAATCCAAGGAGAAAAGAAGGTTTAGACCAGCTTTCCAAACAAGTTTAAAACCTCCTTTAGAAATGTTCCCTTGTGGAGCACGCTAGTCTGATGTGGGGTAAAAAGTATAAATATGGCAAGGTATGAGGCAAAGTCTGACTATAGCAGCCAACAAGGATTTAAAAATATTTAGGAGGTTTGAGAATGATCCATATTATTCTCTCCTTGTCTCTGAACAGTGCTTCCTTCTGTACATTACTAGCCTGTCGATGAGTATCTCTGCCAAAATGCAAGAGGAAGCCAGACTAGCTGGTGGATCCTCCATGGGACCACAGTACAACCACAGTCAGGTACAGCCCAACTATTTCTACAATGGCATATAACACTACAAGTTGACAAACAACATGACAGTGAAAAACTGAAAGGACCTAATGCAACCAGTCAAACTCCATTCAACACCTTTTGACCGAGGGCAGCAGTTTGCAATGAACAGCCACTCTGTTTCAAAACCACCTCCTGTGCACAGCCTGCTCACTCTCTCCGTTCTCTCACACACTCACGCTCTCTGGCTCACTGTTCCTCTTCTCCTCTTCCTCTCACTGGGAGTCTCCTGAAGTCTCCCTTCGCTTTGGGCTCAGTGTGGCATCGCAGAAAGCAGAATCCTTGCAGCTCATCAGTATGCCTGCCCCATCGGGTTGTCACTCCAGCAGCTGCACAACTCCCTCAAGTCTCTTTCTTCATTTTCTTCCTCTTCCTCCTCTCCTTTTTTCCAGATACACCTGCCATACACACAACAGGGGCCAGTGCACAAATGTTCCATGTGCAATCACATCCCTAAGAACTGTTGGCTTTTTGCCTAATGAAGGGGATTTAAGGGTTGTTAGATGTGTTTAACAAGGGCCACCTACTTTTGAGGGTAATCCAAAGTCATGGGGAGGGCTCTGAATGTTTTTAGTGGGCTCTGACTCACTCAGACACGTTTCCTTCTGTTTTGTGTTGAAAAAAATAACTGTCACTAAATGCAATCGTAGCTTTGCTCAGTAACTGAGAGGAGCAGGAACAGGTATTTGTCACAGAAAAGCCTCTGTAATACCGAGTAATGCAGAGGCTCTCAAAGAATTAACATATACAGCTAAAGGAGAAACATTTTGCATATTCACTTAAAAATGCATTTGTGAACACTTCTCAGATTACATATTATTCTGAAAATTCATCAGATGTGCAAAAACAATCACTTACCATTACTGGGTGAATTATTAGCAACATCCAAGGATTTTTTGAAGGAAACAGAGACTGCATCACTGCTATAGTTTGTAGATATCAAGTCCCTTGGGCCTTCTTCCATTCTTGTTTGCAAACCTTGCTGGGGTTTAATTGAAACAATATGCTTCACTAAGCATACGAGTTAAACGAAATATATGCAAATACAGAATATGAGAGAAAATGTCATTATTGGGGGGCATTTAAAGAAACTGTAGGACAAATTAATTTTTACATGTTAGAATATTCCTCATGAGGCATGTCCTCAACCTACCTCCTATTTATTTGTTTTAGAGGACATTATAGTGTTGAAATTGTCTTTAATTATGATTTTTCCCCTTGCTTCCCCCAGTGAATGGAAGAACAGCAAGAAATATTGAGATGAAAGTACTGTCACTGTGTAGTGACACTGAAGAGTAAAATGAGCCTCGTGTCTGCTAAATGTCCAAAGTCCACAGGAACACTGGATGTAGCACAAGGAGTGTGATGAGCAACTTTGCGGATCTGGCTTCAAAAGTAATTTCATATTTTTTTTGTCCATCTCTGAAGGATGAGCTTGCACAGCAGCAGACACCAGCATTTGGGGCTGACATACAACATGAGCTTCTTCTGGCCTCCATAAACATGCCAGAAGAGCAATGCTGTCCTGGGGAGTCTGAACAGCACTGTTAAGATTATTCATTAAGGTACATACAAAGCTAAACCAACTAATTGGTTGTGCAAGAGAGCAAGTAGCCTGGCAGCACTGTGGGAACTGATGGACTGGCTTAATGACTATGTGGATTGTGGTCAGTTAAAACCTTTTTGCTTAAAATGGGAGCATCTGGAGTTCAGGGAGCAAAATTGTCCTGAGGATCATGAGAGACCACAGTGGGTGTGACAGGAAGAGAAATGATAAAAACAAAACAAAACAAAAAAAGCTGTACAAGTCCAGAAAAACATATTCTGTGACAAGTGAATGAAATACAATTAGGACATTTTGTGGGATTCACCCTTGCATTTCTCATTTCACAGGACAGCAAGGACATTACAGCCAAGGGCTGCTCCAAAATCCAGTCAACACTCTGTTCCTTTGCACTTCCCATCCCCAATGAACTGACACCCACCACAGCCTTTTTCAGTTGCGCTCTGAGACATTTTTCTCTCAATAAGCTTTTCGGTGGTATAACATTGGCCTCTCTTTATCTTCACTGACTTTCGGGAACCACCTTTGCATTACTGTTTATATCTCTGGATGACCTTCAGCTACAGATAAAACACAGCTCAATTGTACAGTAAACTTGGAGTGCATCTGGCTTTAATCATGGAAGAAAAAATGCCTAGGCAGATGCGTTCCAAGGTTAGTGCACAACTCTCTGTACTGTAAAATCAAACTGTTTTGCAAATCTATTAGGGAATACCATGTTGCAAAACCCCGGGGTTCACTGTGCTCACACTTCTTTTATGGGAAGGCAGGGAGAAATGAGAAGAGGAAGCCAGAAGATAGAGAGGAAGAAAAGTCTCCCTTGGGTCACAACATCCTAACAGAGAAGACATACCCCTCTGTTCTTGGAAAACCAAACACTACTCTTGGAATAAAAAATACTCACATGCTTCAGCCCAGATCCACCCCTTGCTTCCTTCACTTCCATTTTCTTCTTCTTCCGCTGTGTTTTGCTTTCAAGTCCAGAAGGGCAGAAGCGAATGCCTGCTTTGCCTTTTGGCAAATCCTGAAAGCATCAGAGATGTTGTAAGAGGATTCATGGGACAGATAATTCTTGGTTTTTTTCAGGAAAATCAATTACCTCCAGGAGTGTGTTCTGACAGTGCACAAGCAGGGCATCTCTCTGGATAAGGTACACACCTGAGATTAACACAGCTCTTTGCAAAAAGCTCAGCACGCTCTTCCCACTGCTGCCAAAGGGAATATTTCTCTGGGCTTCTAGAAAGCATTTAAACAGCAAGCCTTCTGCTTCTGCCTCTCCACCCGAGCTACCACTGTAGCACTATCAGCAAACCCTCTTATCAGCAAACTTAAATAAATAGGTCCCAGAAGGCTGGTGTCAGCTGTGGACTCCACACCTCTTTTCAGGCCCAGGTATTTGGAAAAGTCAGCAGTGGTAGAAAGAGTTCATTCATGCAGAGTGACCAGCCAACTCCCCCCAGCCCATCCTGCAAAAGTGTCCCCCAGCTCCAGCTATCTCAGACAGGTCAGGGGAGTGACCACGCCAAGCACCTCCTCCCAGTGTGAGAAAGCCCCTGCAACCAGAGGAGCCCAGCTCCAGGGCTGGACTGGAGACCCCAGCCTGGATGAGACTGACCCCAGTGGAGCAGGTCTCCCTTGGCCATCAACATCACTGCCTCACCTTCTCCTTCTCCTCCCCTGTCTGATGTTCCTCATCTCCAGTCCAGTTCCCCCACTCTTCCATGGGAGCTTTCCAGTCAGAGTCCAGGTCAAACGCTGAAGGGTCATCTATTAAAGCAAGTGTACAAATGAGTTATGTTCAAATCCACACTACCTCCAGCCTCACACGAGTAGCACAAATGCTGCAAAGAATACCTGTCACCTTTCTGCTTGCCATTGGGTGCACATATATGCATCTGTCTTACATGTACCAAGACATTTACAAATGTATTTTAAAAAATTATTAAAACATACACATTGACTACTAATTCACAATTACTGACTGCACTCTTCATGACAGGAAGAAAATTAAAGAAGGACGGAAAAACACATACAGGAACAAAAGCCCTGCCAGCCTGCACTTCAAGAAAACGAGCTTTACAAAACTAATAGCATGGCAGGTCAAATATTTTCTTTTAATTCCATGGAGAAGGATTCAAGCATATCCAGAAACACTGGCAGACACAGCAAGCTCTTCCACTCACTGCAACACACCATCCTCTGTGCAATTATTTGTATGGAAGGGTAATATTAGCAAAGGATTTGTGCATACAGTAATGCTCTCATTGGTGTTTTCTTTCCTATGAAAAATAGAACTAAGTACATTCTGGACTTCATCTTCCTTTTCCATTTTCTTTTTTTGAATGTAAGCCAGAAAAACACCATTAAGCATTGTTTTCCAAACTTCTCTAACAAGCAACTTTAAACAGGCATGAAGCAGGTAACACCTACTCTGCATCAACATTGACCATGTCGTGGGGGCTACACAAAAATCTTATCAAAATCTTTTAGATTTCTGTATCTTTCAGCATTTGGTACCTTTGAAAATCTGGCTGCAAGCCCTCAGCTGCCTCTCCATAAAGGACTGGCAAGTGATCCTTAGGCAAGAAGGCAAAACAGACCAGTCTAATTCCTTTACACAAACTGAATGAGGTGCAAAAAAGCAGATAAATCAGCATAAGACGTTGAAAGGGTTACTTGGCTATTTTTTAATGATTTGAATGCAACAATCCTAAGTCTTATCCTAAAAGGGAGAAAGACTTCAAAAACACAGCGTATAATAATAACTCTTAGCTGATTATGTGTCTTAAAATAAAAATAAAAAAAATTTAAAAAAATCCCAAACCTGATGGAAAAACTTCTAGTTGAAGCAGGGCCAAAACCAAAGGCATGCTGGGGATGATAAAAGAAAACTGTTTCCAAAAAGTTACTCTGACCAGTTTGCTGCCAAATGTTATAAACATGATTATAAACATTGCTCAAGTTTCTCAGTTTAAAATCCATGCCCTCTACATAGAGAGTCTTTCCTTCTTCAAAAGGAATATGAACAAGTAATTTTGAACACATTCCCCAGTAAAATTCCAGTCTAAAATAGAATTCAGTCTCCTGAGCTGCAAGGCAGCAGCTCTGCAAGTGGATGCTCTCGCGGGTGTGCAAACAAAACAGACTGTAACTTAACACATGGGAAGCCACAACTGTTGTTTTCACGTATTTAACTTCTGATTTCTCAAAAAGTGCATTAATGCACATACTTTTAAGCATGAAAATAGTTTTAATGGCAATCTGCCTGCAATGGGCTTACATTTGTGCTTCACTCTTGTCATGTGTGGTAATGAAGCTTGGCCAGACAGTGGTGACTCTGCCACATCTCAGAATTACTCTTCCCAAACCTTTGTGTCCCAGGATGTTTAAAGTCAACTCAGAGTAAAATTAAAGGCAATATAAGATTCTTTAAAATTTGCTGGATTTGATGGGTAAATCGGATTAAATGTACTTATCCCAAAGCTCTGGCTTAAAATCTCTCCTCTTGTGTAGCATATTTCCCTTCTACAGTGACATGTCTCACAATGCCTTTAAACTTTGAATACTCTCTAGTATTTTTAAATCAGCAACTGATTTTCCTTGGCTCAAAAATTCTCTCACAGTTTAAAACTGATCAGTAATTTCTGTGAACAGGAACACTAAAAGGAACATGCCATGCAGCAGCAAGTCCCCCTGCTCCCCATATGGGCTTAGCACTAATGGGGGTGATATCTCTCCTGGCACAAATATAGACCAATATCTTGATAATTTCTGGTGTTCATTTTTACAAAAGCAAGGCTGTTACATTTTCCAACTAGGTTCTTGCTTGCAACCCACCTCAGTCCCCCAGCAACTCCACCCAGACAAAGCTGTACTCTTCTGCTGGCAGCAGTATTTACAGCATGCATTTCAGGGCTGAGGTGGTTTCCATATACCCCTTGCAATGAAGGCACTTTTAGATCCTGAAAGGAACTATGTTGAAGGTTTCTTCAGAAATCAGGGACGCTGCCAGCACCTCTGCAGACAAAAAGTCCATCCCAGCACCAACCACCTGAATGCTCTTGTTCTCCAGTCTCTCTCTGTGTAATGCTGAGGAGCAGCCAGTTGCACCCTGGGAGGTGTTGGGGAACAGGCAAACAGGGCCCCACAGTATCAGAGTCTGGTCAAAAAGGAACAGTCAGCAAGTTCTCTGTGCCTGCTGATAGATAGGGTGGAGTACAGTACTCTACAGACTGACCCTTGTTATCTGACCTGGAAAATGAAACTGGAAAGTACTGCAGCAAAACTCACTCTATGTCGTTGAGATAGGGATTCAAAATTTTCTAATCCAGAGTTGTACATTTGGATTCTGATCTTCCAGCATCCCTCTTGTCATGCTCTCCCTCAATATGGGCAGCAGAAACCTAAGGGAGGTTCATCTGGCAGGGCAGTCCCTCAGTAGGCTGCATATTGTCCATGGCATTGAGTCTTTCTGTGGCTGCTGTAGAAAACCCAGCCCTTTGCAAAGGGCAGTTGACTGTGTAATGAGCATAGTTCTAACCCAAATTCTTATACTTGGAGGCCAAGTGTAATCCACTCAGTTCAAATGGATAGATAATTTCCTGTCTAAAGCTTGCATTTCTGTGTTACAGATCAAAACTATTGCTACCAATAGCTGGGTGTAGGATTCCCTCATTTGGCACCTTTCATAATTCAGTAGGGGCAAAGTATCAAATAAATCCCAGACTGAAGACTTCTTTTAGTGGAAAGAAGCTATTGATTCCCATGAAACAAAAGAATTAAAATTTATTTTAACTCCAGAACAGAAAGAAGGATGGGAGTCAGGAAACATAGGGTCAAGAGGCATGGGAGATTTCTTAAGGTTCCGGAGAAAATTTGTGTTGGCAATCAAGAAGGACTCATTGGGAAGATGCCAAGACACAGGTAAAAAGCAACTCTCATGGTCATGAGGCATTACATTTGCAAAGCAGAATGTGAGTTTTCTGAGACTGCCCTGTGCTGTTGCCAAAGGCCAGGTCCACTGCACTTGGAAGCAGATGCATGGGATAAAATTAGTATTCGCTTTCCTTGGAACCAGACACAAGTGCTCCAAAACAGCCCAGCCAACTGCGCCGTGTGGGTTACATGTTTTGTAACAGCAAAACCAGCCACAGCTTATGATGCATTCTGTGAGACAGCAAAGCATAAGTACATAAATGTCACCAAAGGGGCAGTGGCAGATGTGTGGTATAGGTGCACAAAGGTAGGATTGGGAAACATAAGCAAGTAAAGCTTCCAAGGCAGAGGCGGGAGGATCCAGAACAACCCTGCAGAAGAGATGCCTGGCAAAAGCAGAGCACTTTCTGGATTCAAAAATAAAGTGAATTATGCCAGGACCAGAAGAGGTTCAGCCCCCTTTCTTTTCTGTTTGTGGCAGGAATGAAAAGTATGCAAACACTAATGATGAGCAGGGGAAAATGATGATGAAAAACACTTCCCACTTTGGGGCCCCCTTCCCTCATGGAAGAGTCCTGGCCACCTCAACCTGCTGCTGGGACTGCTGGGACTGCAGCCATCAGTGTTGACCATGTGGCTTCAGGTCTAAGATACTGAATGCCCCCAGACAATGAAGGCTTAGATTGCTAAGGACTGATTGTTTGAACACGTAGAGGCAATGACTGATGACAGAATGAGGATTTCAGAATTGATGAGGTTGGAAGGGGCCTCTGGGGATTGTCTAGCCCAACCCCACGGCTCACAAAGGGCTCAGCTGTAGCAGGTTGTTCAGGAATGTAGCCATCAGAGTTTTGAATATTTTCAAGGGTGGAGACTCCGTAACCTCTCTGGGCAAACTGTTCTGTTGTCTGACCACCCTCACCATAAAAACAAAGCTGGTAAGTGGAAGTTCACTTCATACTCATTGCCTCTTCTCCACCCTCTGGGCAGAGCATAAGCAACCACCTCATCAGGTTTTCATACGCATGGATCGCCTCTGCTGGACCCACTCCAGTATGTCCATGACTGTCTTGTACCTGGGAGCTCAGAAATGGGCACAGCACTCCAGATATGACAATAATTAATAATTAACCACCAGCAGCGTGTATCAGTAATGAATGTCAACACAGCAGTGTGTTGTTTGGAAACCAGGCTGATCAAGTGTCTTTTTTCACTCCCATATTGCAGTGACTATTCAGTTCTCTAACCACTAGCTCCCTCTCTACCTCTATGGATATATGCTTTCAGTTGTGACAATACTTTAGCCTTTTGACAACACTCAAGCCTTTTGTGAGTGATGGTGTTATTATTGCTGGTACTTTACAAAAAGATAACCTGATGTGGAGTGGGGAGCTGGCCAAGGCAGCTCTGCCGGCTGGGGCAGGAGCAGGAGTCCAGCATCCAGTTCCTTTGGCTGCACCAGCATAGAACAAAGAGACTCAATACATGTACTACTCTGGATTTGATAAAATGACCCCAACTTGTATTCAGGTTATAAATGGCTTTTTTTTTTTTTTTTTAAGTTTCCAGGCCTGCAAGAGCTAACAGGCTGTGTTTGACTGTCAAAGAGCTCATTTTGCCTGCAGCACCGACCTTAATGCCAACCATTACCTCATCTAAATTCAGGGAATACATGTTCGTGACACTCCCCTCCCCTGCATCAATATCAAGGCTGATGATTCAAAGGACAGAAAAAATACCAGGACGAAGAAGCAAGCTGTAAGGCAGGCAGAATAATCCTTCCAAATGCTTCTGTTCAGATGTTTGCAGGAGCAACCTGCTGAATTTGCTCCTATCTGTTCTGCTCTCAGATAGACATGGCACTCAAAAAGCAGAGCTCTGCCTGGCTTTGCAACTGCAGATCAAGCCCAGAGTGTGCCAAGTCTGACATGTGCTAGATGCAGTGCAAGGGAACGCTGCTGATGAGCTGCCCACGCTGCCTCCCTCCATCCCGTGCAGGCGAGCGGGGCTCCAAAGTTGGAAAGGGCCAGGCACCCTCTTGGAGCAACGCAGGGATAAAGAAACACAGCACTAAGGGAAGGGAATGCTTGGGTTTGGGATTTTTGTTTTTATTCTTTTTAAAGCAAACAGTGCTATTTATAAAATCACGGCCAAAATGATGCATCTGCTGCAGAGCCTCAGTTACCACAGGGCAGAGAAGCAAGACAACCACAGTCTTTTCTCCTTAATGCATTCCACCACTCTGGCTTCTCCTACAGTTGAGCAATCAGAGCAGCTAGAGTACGAAGGGGTTTGCTCTCTCGTCAGCCATCATGCCTGCAAGAGCAGGAAAAGGCCTCCCAACAACAGGGGTATATATAGATACTTCCCTCAATCCTGGCCAAAAGGTCAAGAGAAAAAGGTCATCTAATACCCACACTGTTCATGCCAAATTATTCCAGCTACTCAGGACCCACGCTGGTCTTTCAAGCAGATTTTGAAAGTAAAAAACCCTCATTACCAGTCATAAAAAGACTGAAATCCTGATTGCCACAATGCACTGGAGGTGGATTCTGCATCTGTGTTCAGGGTATTACCAAGGAAATTTAAAGTTTAGGCAAAGGTACTCTGAGCTCTAGAAGCACCCTGTCTTTCCATGGCTCTCCCCTAGCCCAGACTGCAGTTGCCTGGAAAAGGGCCACTCAGCTCCACCTTCCCACAACACGACGGGAGGGAGGGAAACGCAATGCTTCAGTTATGAAAACCAAACACAACTTTGAACTCATTTCACAAATTTAGTAATCTGAGTTGACTGCTAAACATGGGGTTTTTTTGAAATGCAGAGCCTATCCTGATGCATCTGGCTCAGGAAGTCCCTGACCCGCTCTCTGCAGGGTGTGGGGAGGGATCACCCTGTGCTTGCCCTGTTCCTGTGCTTATCTACCCACAGCTGATAGCAGTGCAACTGCCAGAGAGAGGACACCGCCACAGAAGCCTGCAGACAGCCTCCCTACGGCTGCTCCTGCTGCCCAGGAGCTCTAATTGCACTCTGCACAGCAGTATGTGTGCACTGAAAAAGATTGTACTTTCTGCGTCCCTTTTTTGTCATCTTCTGAGGAAAAACATAAATAAAATGCATATTCTCGCTCTTCTCGAGGGTCTCGTGGATGCCTCCTGCCTGACTGAGCTCACAGCAGCTCTGAGCACCTGCCAAAAACTAGACCAACACTGGATTTCTCCCTTATCTCTGCCAGTGAATGAGCCACATGGGAAGTGGCTCCTGATTTCTGAGGCTTAAGAAACAGACTAAAAAGAGTATCACCATTAGTACACTTGCCTTTGAACAGAAAAAGAGCAAAGAGACATACCCTGCCCCTGCCACACATCGTCTGTAGGGAGGAAAGTCGAGCTGCTGTGCCAACAGCATCTGGAAGGACTGTCCTCCGATGATTTACTCTTCACATTATCTGCATATAGCAAAGTGTCCTTTTTAAAAATTAAAACAAAAACAAAACCAAAAAAAAACCCCAAACCTAAAAGATAATCACATAGGTATATTCACATTATTAAAACCAATTAATCATGCCTCTATCTGCTCACTATGTCACAATGCCTAGATGTTATGTAATTTAAGCCACACATTAATCTATGCTGCTCATCGCAGTGGATTTATTAACAAAGGCTGGACGAGGACACTACATGCATAAGTTATTAAAAACAACTCACTCAGGAGTGGCTCCACTAGCAATAGTCATAAAATGTTGGGGACCTAAGAAGGAAGCTATAGTTCCTGCAGAACAAAAGGCACATGCAGTGAATCCAGCTCCAACTCCCACCACCTTCAGTGAGAAGGTTTCTGCTCAAGCTAATAGAAATCCATAATTACTAAATTAATTGCTTCATGAAAGAGAGAGATGAGAGAGCTGCTGGGGGAAAAAGAAAAAATTTTTTTGATGATTACTTTCAGCAGCTAAAGTAACCAGTAGGATTCACATACCTCCCTGAATGACTCCCCTTAACCCCTTTCTAAGGCCTGTACATAACAGACCAGTGTTTTCTTCACATCTTTCATAAATCAGGGAGATTTTTTCACATTTCTGATCTTTCTTTTCTTCCTTTCAGCTGAAGAACTCCCTGGTTTTGTTCAGTGTCATCTTGATTTTTTGCTGCATAGATGCAGATGTTAACAAATATTTCTCCCTGTTGATTACTTGTACATTAGGAACTGCTTCAATCCATTAATGCAGTGTTGGAAAACAGATGATTAAATATAGTATATATTATATTGATTGCCATGTCTGGCTTTAGATGCTAATTTCAGCATTCAGGCTAACACCACACACACTGTTTTGTGCACAGATGTATCTATGCTTGCCTTTAGCAAAGATTCAGGACCAGACTTTGCATTCATGATCCAGTTGAACTTTCAGACAAATGTGAGTTTCTGGTAGGCAGGGAATGTATGACCCAGGAGTGCTCCAAGTCAATCAGTGAGAAGAACTGACAGTTACAGAGAGGCAAAGTGAAAGCCAGAAAAGAGGATCAACTTAATGTAGAACCAGTAGATGTTCCATCCTTCTCAAAGCCACTCACGGAGAGGGTCAACCTGAAAATCCCTCACTGTGCTGGACAGGAAGGTGCTGAATAGGCAGCATCTGACAGAGCTTTTCCAACCTGGGCGTTCGCTCCCTCCCTCAATCTGAAATTCTCTGAATTTTTTGGTCATCACAGCACAACAGAAAACTTCTGTGTGAGTAAACCCAACAGAAAGAATTTGCTGGGGAAGCAATATTTTTTTTTATTTATTCCAAGATGAGATACAAGTTTGGAAAGCACTCAATAAAAGGTTGTGATGTCACTCTCTAAAATATTGGTGTGCTGGATTGCAGATGCAAGCAAGCTCTGCAAGGGAGAGTGACTAATGAAATGTGGCTCCAGGGTAGAAGGCCCATATGTGATCAGTGAGAGCCCTTTTAAGCCAAGCTTCTAAGAAAGTGATAGAAGAATTCAGATAAAAGTCCAAAGAGAGACCACTCACCTAAATCCCTGGACAGATCTGATAACGTCCCAAAGGTCACAGGACAGGATTTTACATCTGCAATATCCCATGTTCCTGCATTTAAAACGCAAACAAACAGTAACCCTAAACCTGATGTCATGTTCACAGCTGGTGGCAGCAGTTTCTATCTCGCTCTCCCAATCTCATTACAGGCCTTCTGTGTTCTCTCCATCCCTGCATCCACTGCTGTTGCTGAACAAGAATCAAGCAAGGAGAAAACACCTTTATGGTGTCCAGCTCCATCACCATGCACACCTTCTCAGCCCTTCAACATGCATGTCACACCAGCATGGCCCTTCTCTGGACTTAAATTCCTCACTCATCTGAACTGATGTCCCCTTTATGCACTAGTGGCAGAAGGTGTCATCAAGTATCAGCTGGAATTTGGCCTTTTGAAAGCATTAGAGTAAAAATGGTACTAATGTCCTCCCCCTATTGACCCTATACTTTGCAAGAGAAGGACTCCAGCAGAGAAGACAACTCATGTGAGAGCAACCTAAGAGCATTTTCTGAATCACCGGAATACTGGATTACTGCTACTGAAGGTGAGTCATCATATGGCCTGATATAGCAATCAGTCCAGCCATCACGCTTTGTTAGTCAGAGAATGTAGTCAAAACCATTTGCTTTTTATTTAGGAATACCCTGCCTCTTAGTGCTTTGAAACATGTGGATATATACCCTGCAGTCTAACTCTGACCATGTAAGAACAACCTCGGACAGAAAGGCTTTGGTTGCAAGGGGCCAAACACGAAATACCTGTGGGTAGAAAACAACTTGCACCCTGCAGGTAGACTACAACACAAGAAATTCCTGCCATAAAGACCCCTCTTTTCACACTGCTGGGAAATAAATGACAGCTAGCAGGGTGCAAGGGGGGTGGACAACACTGTGTGTGCAGGATGAATGTCTGATGGAAACAGCAATTTGTGAAGCTTTCCCTTGGCAATGCTTGAATGCCCACACTCACCTACGTTGGAGAAAATATCCTCTTCTGACCGGGAGGGCACTGATTCTTCCCGTGTGGCTCCTGAGGCCTTCAGCGTGGCCCCACACTCTGCCTTGGCAAAGAGAGCACCTTTTCCACCACCACTGGTGTCCCCTGTGAGTGGCCACACCGCTCCCTTCTCATCCCAGTCAAAGGCTGGCTCAACCGCTGAGCTACCCAGGGATGTCCTGCTGGGGTCTTCTCGGGAATAAGCATTACATAATTATTTTTAATTACAAGGAAGAGTTTTTACTGAAGAAACAATAGAACAAAGCCTGTTCTAAACCCGTCAGAGGTAATGGCTATTTCCAACTGAAAGTATTTACAGATACGATTACAGTGAAGCAGAGTGCCTGTGATGGGACTCTGAGGCAGCAAATATGAAGGTCATGTGAGAAAAAAGGCACCACAGAGGCCTTCGATGTCCCTTCCTGAGTGCAAGGGTGGTTCAAGGCCTCTAGAGTCCAGCTGGAGACCCAGAGCAGTGAAGGGAGGGAAAGAGAACAGCTGGACCTCCAAGGAACAAGAAAGCAAACATCTTGGATATTGCTAGTTCAAGGCTGCTAGAGAAATCAGCGCCAGGCATATGGATATTTTAAATAATGACAATTATCTCCAACATATTTTGCTTCAAAGGACTCCTAAAGCACTTTATGACTCCAGCCTTCAGAACAGCAAAGCATTTTCCTGGGTCTCTAGTGGAGAAGGGTCCACTGCTGGCAACAACACCACCTTCCCTCACCTTAATGCTGATGCTGCTGCTTCTCTTCTGATAGGGAACAGCAACCCGCACTTAGCAGGGTTAGGCTTTCCTCCTAGAATACATCTCACTGCTCTGTAAATGCCCATACTAACATGATCACTTGGTTCAGCATCCTGGACAACCCAGGCTCCAGGATCCCACCAAGGGCTTCTGGTCCTTCAACTACAACTTGATCTACTGAGCTCCCTTTCCTGGGTCAGCAAAGCACTTAATGCCTGCATGACCTTAGGGTTAAACCATGCATGGTTAACCTTCTGCATGTGCAGCTGGTAACACCCATGCCAACAGGTCAGTTTACATGAAGAAAGAAATATGGAACCATCTACTTTGCTGGAAAGCAAGCAGAGACCTCAGCATCTTAATCCCTTAGAGACTCATCCAGGTATTTAACTGTTGATAATCCAAGAGTTAAAAATCCAAGCTCTTGATTTAATAATCAAAAAGCAAAAAGTAGTCCTAAAATGTCTGTATATTTTCATATTAAAATTTGCTGTTCATTTTCCTTCAATTTTAGTAGAGCATCTGAGAGCACTTTAAGACAGTCTTATTGCAGACAGTGCACAAACTCACACACATATATCCAGCTGCAACTCCCAATTCCAAATTCCTATCTTAGCTGTATAAGCTATATTACTGTAATATATTAAATTTACAGGTTATTTTGATTATTTTATCACAGATAATGAAAACACTTTCAAATGCCTTAATTCCATGACCCATTTCATATAGTGGTTATTACATATAGCATGATTAGTAGAAATGTATGTAGGTATAAGTGCATGGCAGACACCTTGAAATACCCAGAGGAAAAACATGGAGTGAGCAGAAAGTGTTGTTTCATTTTACCTCATTAGGATAAGAGTATATCCCCCTGTCATAGTTCTTTACTCTGGGCAGGCCTGGACTAAAGAACCTGTTTGTAACTGAGCAAATTACATGGGTTTTTATACATCCATTATCAGAAAATTTCTTCTGTCAAGCCAGGCAAAAGTAAGTAACCCACACAACACCAATCCTTTAGTAGATCTCAGATCTAACAGACACCTGCTTTCAGAGTCCTGTGGGTAATGCTATGTGTTTTAATGAGAGCCTGGAGTAAAAGGCAAGCTCCCAAGTAAGAGCTCCCAAGGCTCTTTTCTAAAGTAAATAGCCTCAGTAAGTGCAAAGACTTTGCTGTCAAATGACGAATAGAGCAAACAGAAAGATGCTGGGAAGTGAGGAGGGGTGACAAGCCTGGCCAGATCAGGTGTGTGAACTGAGCCTGTACATTTACCTTTTTGTTTCAGCCTTTCCTTCCTTAAGTGTCTCTTTTCACGGCTGCTGATCTTGGTCTGCCAAACTCCTACAACAGAGAGCAAAGTTCATTTTCAAGCTAACAAAGAACTTCCTTTATTGGCTTTACTGCTTAGCCCAAGGTGAATAGCTATCTGATTGTTTCTGATGTTGACTGTAAAAGTGGTTGCAGGTCTCCTGCAACATCTCCCCTGTGTGCAGCCTTTGCTGCCTCTGCAGAAATGTGTTACATAAGAAATCCCCATCACAAACCTGTCTGTCATGTGTCCTGACCCACATAACTGCACATATTCTCCTCTCCTGTGTGTCAGCTGATGTGACACCCCTTTCCCTCAGGGGAGATGTCATAGCAGAGCATCAACCGCCTTGTATATTTGTCAGCAGGGAGAAATTAATGAAAATCTCAACTGTTAAATAAGGTTTCAATTTACTGGGTTTCTCAAGCCCTGAACATACTCTAAGACTTGTTCGGATGTGTGGACAGCCTCTACCACTCAGCTGGTTTCCACACACATTTGTTCACACCAGTGGGGCCACATTCTACCTCTGTCCATGCTCTCCAGGACCCAAGAAGTCAGAGGAGGGACCTGCAGCACAAATGGTTAATGAAGAAAAAACAGAGTCCCTAGATTTGACCAAGACAAACACTTTCTTTTTCTGAAGCATCCACAAATAACACATGAAACAGTTCAGCTGGCTCATCCATTCAGAAAAACTACAGATCCATTTGAAGAAAGCTTCTACTGTGTCCCCTTTTCCCCCAGCAGCCTTGCAGGCCCTCTGATACCAGGCCCCAGGAAGGACTCCGGACCAACAGCAAGCAAGGGTTTCTTTTGCTCTCACCACCACACTAATCACATTATAATCTTTTAAGCCCAGAAAAGCTTAGAATTTGTTGTTTTCAATATTACCCTTGGTGGGGGAAGGCACAGAGGGGCTCATGGGATGCAATGTATTTTCCAATGAAATTCTAGCTGCCTGAGCCTTGCTGGCCTCTGCCAGATTTCCCTGCAGATCTGCTTGCAAACAAAGATCTTGGCTCTGCTCACTGGCATGCTAGAAGTTGGCTGTATATTGTCCCAGTGCCTTTACCAGCCTCAGTCACGGCACAACAATACACTGCCTGGGAAGACCACAGCTCCAGCTGCGGATCAGCATAGCAGGGGCCACAGGAGTAGAGGAAGAGCATGAAGACAGGACCTTGCTGCCCCATGGGCCTCTGATCACTTCAGAGATGCTTCTTCACCTGCAGATTTGCCACACTTGTGAAGATGCTCAGGATCTGAGCAGCGTGGCAGGAAAGCACATGGCCCCTGTCCACGTAGTAAGAAGTAGGTGATAGAAACAACTCTCAAACTGGCAACTTTCTCCAACAGTGCAGAACACTGGAACAGTTGAGAAGACCTCCCTGTTGACATATTTCATCCTGTGTTACTGTTTGGTAATATACATTAGGTAACAGAATAACCAAATCTTTTTTTACCTTCCTCTTCTTGCAGTTTGTCTTTTTCCACAGAAAGCAGATCTTTTGGCACCTCCTTGTCTGAGCACTGGATTTTCCTCTTCTTCTTGGGCTACAGTATACAGGAGATACACAGCAGAAAGATAAAACAGGTATTTGTTACATTTCATCATGAAGAAAAAGAGAGTCAGGGCAGTAGTTTTGAAAGGGAGACCACCCATGGTACTCAGAGAGAACAAGAGGTTGCTGGAATCCTTAAGTGGGGGCAAAAGTCTTCCTGAGAAGATCTTATTGCAAACTCCAAACCACTAAATGCTATCACTTTGGGCCTACAAATCTTAATTTATCTGCTAGATTAGAAAGCTCACATTTTTATTCAGGTACCTGCTCTGTAGAAGATTTGCATTCTTCATTTCTAAGTCCTAATTTTCTGCCTATAAAAGAGAAAAGTCTGAAAGTATTTACCCCCTTCAAAAGCAGGAATGCTGAAATCAAGAATCAGGACCCTACCAATGCTTAAAAAAAAAAAAACAAAAACAAAAACAAAAAACAAGAACACCAAAACCATGGAACAGCCTATTTTTAATGAAGGTGTCTGTAGTTTACACTAATCTGAAAGGGCATGGGAATAGCTGAGCCCATTTTCAGTTGAAACAGTAGAGCTAACCTTAAGCCTTCAGTTTTGAATGTTGTAGTTTAAACACAGTGGTTCTTGACTTTTCCAAGATGGGAAACCCCTGTCAGAAACAGTTCCCTGGCCAGGCTCAGGGGCTGCTCCTCATTTAGAATCATAGAATCACTGAAAGGCTTAGGAGAGACCTTAAAGATCATCCAGTTTCCACTGCCCTACCATGGCAGGGACACCTTTCACTAGACCAAATTGCTCAAAGCCCCATCCAGCCTGGCCTTGAACACATCCACAACTTCTCTGGGCAACTTGGAAGTTGGAACTTGGAAGTGTCTTGGCACTGACCCTTTCCCCCACACCAGTACGACTGCTCAATGCCCAAGATAAAACCCTTAAACAGATCCAAGGACACATATCCTGTCAGAGCTGGAAATGGAATACAGGAGATCCCAGCACACACTTGGGCTTGGATGATGAGACCATCCCACTTATGGTGACAGTGACAATCACTACAGTGTGACTGTGCCAGAAAATTACATGGTCTTATATTCCTAAGTCATCCCTTAAGTGCACCAAAACCAGGAAGAAAAAAATTACCTTAACAAAGGGAACATTCTTAAAACAACTGTCTCTTCAAAGACAACATATAAACTCTAAAACTCTTGCTGGTACCTTGAGGAGCTTTTTCTCTCTGATGTTGACTGATGTGATAACTTGGCCATTTACTGGGACCTAGAAGATGGACAGTAAAAAAATGTGTTATGGAATATATACATGCATGTGTTTGTATGTGTAAATATACATGTAAATACAATTACTTCAAAACCTTCCTATAAAACTTATAATACTCTGAAAGACACAGCTAAAAAACCTGCTGTACAAATCTGGGCTAGAATTTCTGGCCTTGTTCTAATTGGAGTAATTTATTCCAAATTAATTAGTGTTAGCTAAGCCTTTATGAATGTAAATCCAGAAACTCCACATAGATTTATTCCAAAGCAGACATATTTGTGGTTTATCCTAAGATTTGTCTAGGATCAAAGTTGTTTTTTAAATAGGGTAAGCCTGTCTTAAAACAACAGCATAGACAGGAGAAGTCTTATTTCAGTTCTTGTTTACTGGTTGGGGTGGACCTTATCAAATCTATCTGACCAGCTAAAAGAATGGCTTTCATCCTACCTAGACCCTGTAAAGTAAACAATGAAAGTTTAAGGACTTTTCAAATTATGGTTTGATTAATGTCTCAGCTGTCTCAGAATTCCCTGGCAATGGCCAGCCTCCAGATACAGAGATGGGAGAGTGTAAATCTGCAGCTGACACAGCAAGGGCTGTGCCAAAAAGGGCCACTGTACACTATGCAGAGCCAGCAGCATCCAAGACAAGGCAGAACCTCCTTTCACTGGTGGCTGCTCACCCTTCTCATGTCATCTCTGTCCACGAGACACTGTGGCAGTGATTAGTTACCAGCAAATAAAATCCCCTGGGTGACTGCCCATGCCTGTCCCTGTCAAGCTCAGTGGGGCAGCAGTCCTTCAGACTGTTAGCACTCATATCTTTGGTATTTTGGGGATTTCAGAGCTATTTTTCACAAGTCTCAGAAAGGTCTAGCTTGAAGTGCAAGTTAAAGACAGCATGACAGGCACCTGCATGCTGGCAAGTGCTTTGTCCCTGGAGGTGCTTGCTTGGAATTCCAGACCAGTTACAAGCCCATGGTGGACAAAGACCCAACAGGCTGGTGTTCATCTGATGTACCACAATTATTAGGAGGGAAAGCTCCAGAATTGTGGAGTTTGCACACAGACAATACTGATTCTAGGTCTTCCAGTAAAATATCACAGTAACAGGAGACAAAATCCCTGCCTGTTATATCAGTAATTAATTCCACCAGCTTCATATTATAAACTTAAGCCAAAGTGGTCCACATCTCTTCCATCTCCCTTAACTGTCAATTGCAAACAATATTATTGTTACAATTATATTGTTCTGAACATTCACTAGCAAAATAATTACTTCTGTGTTAAAATCCATTACATTTTGTAATAGCTAGCAAGTCCATTTTGGACTTTCCCACGGGCAGTCATCTCTCTTCTAAGACTCTCAGGTTCATTTACTAGAGGCACTCCATAAACCCCACCACAAAAGAAACCATTTTCCATCTCCTGCTCTGTTCAAGGAAAAAATCCCACTCTATCTGCAGCAGGGAGGGAAGTAGCCTCTCACATATGATGTGGGACAAAAAATACAAAACCGGGAGTATTTGCTGAAAATTTGAACCATGTGGAAATGGAAAAACCTGAGCTTACACTATTCCTTGTTTCTCAGCATATGCTTCTATCCACTTTAATGTGTGAAAATACAAATAAGATCATGTCTTAGTGAAGAACAATTCCTATGCAAAATGGAATATGGGGGGAGGTGACTTTCCACTAAATGACAGAGGACTTCAGGAAAGCTGAATTTTATGTGATGAATACAAGAAGGGATTACTGGGGGAAGCCACACAACATGTAAGTGCAATATTCCTTCCTAGTCTCATCAAACCCTGATGATTTCCCAGTTCTCATAATGAAATCTAAAGGCTTTGTAAATGGACCTCCCAAACGAAGGCACTTTGAGCAAGACTGCCACCGTGGGCACAGAAACAGCAGTGGCAACTTAGGAGGCAAGGAGGATGCTCTTCTGCCTTCTTTCAGACACACACAGAGGATAAGAGACATCCCACCTCCTGTTAACCTCTCTTTACGTCAAGATGCTTCTGCAAGTATAAGAGACTACAGGCAAAGACAAGGAGATGTCAAGATTAAGGACATGCAACTGCCTTCCTGCCCTAGGCTGCCCTAACGGAGCACAGCCCAAGGCTGTACAGAGCCCTGACGTAGGCAATGAGAACTCCAGAGGGAAAATGTTGAGTGCAACAGAGGATTAAGGAAGACAGAAACTATATTGACTCTGACAGACTTGTCTCAGCTGGGGCAGGATCACGTTCCTGGATCTTCTCTCCATATAAATGACAGCAAGCAAGAAGCTGGAAAAATTGCAGCACTCTGTTTTAGCTCTTTGCCAACCTGACTATTTTTATACGGGTAAAACCTGTATGCTTTTACCAGACAAGCACAACATTTACTACTTAAATGTTATTTCATCTGCTAGACAAACATCCCTCTCTCTCTCCATTACTGACTAAGAGGTTAAAAATATACTGTTGACAGTCATTTACTATATTCCAGGGGTCTTCATGGTGACTGACTGGCTGCTCAGCCCTAAGTACCCACCTGGGACTCCTGAACCTTGTTGCATTCTTCCTAATGATCACCTTAGTGCAAAACAATATCACACTTGACCACTGACTGATGCTCTCACCAAACAGCCCACTGCGGTGATGCTCTTCTTTCAAACCTGAAATATTTGTTGCTTCTTCACCGTCCTTCAGTATAGCAGCATATATAATATATATAATAGCAGTAATTCCCTTCCTTCATCACCAAGAATTTTTACTGAGTTCTACTTCCTTTCAGTGGAAAGGTATTATGTTAGCCTGACCTTTTGTATCAAATCCTGCCTTTATCCAACCCCTTTTCAGGCAGTAAGCTGGTTGTGTGGCTGAGGAACCCCACCCTACCCTATTCTTCCCTTTGGAAGCCCTCAGGGTAAGGGATTAGTCATGCCTCTTTATCATGCCGTTTGGCCATTCTGAAAAGGAAAAAGGAATTTTCATTATTTTATTGCATTTAACCTAATGGAATCATTAAAGAGATATGAATATTGTCAGGGTAAATTTTTTCTCAATGAAAAACGTAGTTTTGTACAGGGAAAACACATCTAAACCCACCACATAAAGTGACTTTATAAAGTCATCAATGCAATTCCAAATACATTAAATATATGCAGAGAAGCAGAATCGGGACTTTTAGTGGAATAAGACTTAGCATATTAATTTCTACTCACATTCTGTGGAACAATAGGAAGATTATTTTTAGTTCATGGCCATTTGCTTCATGACCCAGTGGAACAGGATTTCCCCCACACCCCCTGCCTTTTCTCCCTTTTTATGTAACCTAAGTTTATATTTCTGATGATTGCTCTGAAACTAGCAATTTCTGATTGATTCTTTTGAGCTAGTGTTTAATTTATTTTATGCTGTTAATATAGTTCTACATAAAACCTCAAAGAAAGGAGGCAAAGTGACAGGTCTTCAAATGTTACAAAATACTGAGTTTAATCATTAGTATATAAACCGTGTATTTGAAGCCATAAAGCTGTACCCCTAGAGACTTACCTTTATGCATTTCAATAATTTTGTGAGACTAGTCAGTTTTGTAAAACCCAACACCTTTGTAAGCATCTATCAGATCAGGCAGCCTGCTTTCACATCTCAGTGCCACCAACTGGTTACAGGATTAATTAAAAATTGTGTGAATATCAGCTTCACGTTCGCTAACTGCCCTTTGTCCCTCTTGGGGAAGGTGCTTAAAATTGCCTTCCTTAGGAAGGCATGGAAAGGTTTGCCCAGTAGAGGGATACTAGGACAAAATAAACTCAGCCTATGAAACCCAAGGGGAGCTATTATATGCTTCACACACTGGAAATCAGGGAATTCATTTAAGAACATGAATAAAATTCAGAAAATTGTTTTCAGCTACCACTTTCAGAAAACTCAAATTAAGTGGGTTGGACACTGGAAATGAAAGGAAGCAAGACTACCCCATTCTGGCAGGGGGTCTGTGAACACAAAACCATTTCCAGATTTAAGAAATACTTCAATTAAATTGTTTCTTAGTGTTCATTTCCAGTGCAAAAACCATTTTATTTTTTTCACTTTATATTACAACACAAAATAAATGTGGTGGATTTAGGCTAAAAGGCAATACTGGTATGACAAAAGTAACACCAAAATGCACCAAATTAAAAAAATAAGGGAAGGGGGAGGAGAAAAGAACAAAAGGAAAGGAATTTCTAACCAGGGCACTACATAACCTTCCTTAAATACGCTGTGTTATACTGAACAAGGTATCACTACACTCTCAGATTTCTCAGTAGATGTTCAACAAGAACTTCATCACCCTCAGCACCCTCTGGAAGATCTGGTCTTTACTCCCTACTCTCCACGCTATGAGTTGGATATTTGCAGCACCGCTTGCACTCCCGTTTGCTCTCTGCAGATGGGTTCTTGTCTCCTGTGCACAGAGTGGGGGCTCAGCCACAGGGTGAGCAAACCCAAGTGCTGCTGTGGCCAGACAGCAGCTCCTATTGCTCCATCCGCAGACAATGAGCAACCCGCATGACAAATGTGTTGGGAAATGAAGCAGCACTGGCTCTCATTAATTCTGATCCAGATTTTCATAAATGGAAGCAGACATCCTGGCCAGTCTGGCTTTGCCACATGGTCTTGTGCTGATGATGGACTTCACTCTGGGAGTCTTATTCCCTGTATCAGTGGGAACCAGGTGAATGGGAAAGGACGACACTGCATTTGTCAGAGGAGAAAGGATGGGGTTTAGGCAGAGGCAAAGGCCACCAGAGAGACAGGAAAGTATCAGCTTCAAAGAAAATTACTCATTCAATCCTAACAACTAGAGAAAGGGTAACACAATGCCAATTTCTGCTAAGGTGACAATGAGAAGCCAAAAATTCCCCATATTTGGTTCATTAGCAAAGGAAACTGAGGGCTCTTTATGAATGGCAGAAGAACGTAAAGGAGCTTCTTTGTGGCATGGCTTTTCACAACACTGCAC